CTTTGCTCTTTCTTTTTGTAGATTTATCGTTACTCTAGGTCTTACTGGTCTGTGGTCGCTTCCTACTGATAGTTTATTAAGTACAGTGACATCTTGAATAATTTGCTTTTTGTCTGTTATTATATAATCTAATTTTTACCTAACTTTTAAATCAGCAATATTGCCTGGTCTATTTAAATATACTTTAGAAATAATTAGGTATTTTCGTAATAAAAATATAACTCAAAAGGAGGTTTGTGAAATTTTTAATAACAAATACCGTGGTCAACAAGTTTCGCAGTCTAAAGTTAGCGTCAGAAAAATTAAAAAGAAGTTTCGTCATACTGCACATGTAAAAAATATTGAAAAACCAGGTAGAAGTGATAAATGTACTGATGAAAAAAAGTTAGATGCACTTCTAGAGATTGAGGAAAATCTGCGTAAGACAACGAGAGAACTTGCCCCCGCCAATGATGTAAGTAAATCATCTATTTTCAGAGTTTTGCATAAAGAAAAATAGCATACTAAAAATAGAAAAATAAGTTCTGTTGGTTCCGGAGTTAAATGAAGATGATTCTGATAGAAGGCAAGAATTCTGTGAAATGGTGATGGACAGAATGAACGCAGATTTGCAGTTCATAAACAAAATAGTTTTTTTGTTGAAGCGACGTTTAATTTAAACGGAACGGTTAACAAACAGAACTGTATATATTGGAGCAGAGAAAATCCTCATTTGCTGTGTGAGACTCACACGCATATCCCAAAAAAGTTAATGTTTGGGCTGGTATAATTAACAATAAAATTATTGGTCCTTATTTTTTTGAGGGCACAGTTAATGGTAAGGTTTATCTAGATTTTTTTATTAACTTTTTAGTGCCTACATTACGAAGATTTTTTTATGATGTTAATCATCCAAATGAGATAGATCGATCTATTTACTACAAACAAGATGAAGCTTCACCTCATTATGCACTTATAGTAAAAAATTATTTCAACGAGGTTTTTCCAAATAGGTGAATTGGAAGACGTGGAACGATCAAATGGCAGACTAGATCCCCCAATTTGACTCCTCTCGATTATTTCTTATGGGGTTATTTAAAATCTAAAGTATATTTTAATAGACCAAACAGTATTGCTGTTTTAAAAGTTAAGGTAACGGGAAAAATTAACAAAGTAACCCCCGAGGTCGTACGAAAAGTTGTACGAGAATTCCAAAATTGCCTCGGTTATTGCCAAGAAGTGAATGGTGATCATTTTGAACATTTAATTTAATTGTATCCCTTAATTAAAACCCCTTTCTAACAAAGTGTCATACGACCCCTTTTATTATTCAAAATTTTCAATGGGGTGCTTATAATTCAAAGGGGGTGCTGGAGTGGTGTAATATTTTCATACTGTAAATTGTCAATTTAAGAATAAAAATTAACCTATTTCAGGTTTTTTTCACATAGTACATAATAACGCTAAAAATGAATTTATTTCATACATACGGACCTCATTGTATAAGGATATAATGTACTTGAAAGTTTGCTAAAAGAAGAAACAAAATAAAAAAGAACTTAGCTACAAATACATGTACGTGTAATATTATTAATTTGGGACCGATGAGGTTTCGATGAACTACCTTTTTAACTATCTTCCGGAGGTCGTCTCTTAGCTGCTATAAAATTGTGTTTTTAAGCGCTGAGTGAAAAGCACATGTTTAAGAATTAAAACCTAACAAATATAAAAAGTGTATCAAAAAGTTTGTCATATTTAGGATTAGTAAAAAGAAAATGTTAGATATAGACTTACCTTCTATAATTAATTATAGTGCTGCGGAAGTGTGTTAGAGACCAAGCTGGAAGCATGCCTACAATATGCGAATTTAGTCACGTACACAAGGTTTTTAATTGTGTATTACTAATTGTATATTTACTAATTGTTTTATCTTATTCAAAAATGTACTATGAATCATTTAGACTTGTAAATATTTATATCTTTTAGCCACAGTCCTAAACAACTCCTACAATTCTAAAGATTCTATAAACATTGTTACTTTCTGGTTCGCTTTGACACAACCTGAATAGCGGATACAAGAAAGACCATTGGATGTAGGTAAAGAATAAAAGAATAAATATCGCTAAACAAAGATTAAATAGATATGAAAATTAATGATGCTGAAACACCGAAACAGCGATGCTTGATGGATAAAATTAATTCCAAGACTATAAAGACCGCCCAATGGTAACACTATCCATCTATTTGGAATATTTGGGAATTTCATGAACATTTCTTTGTTCCATTCTTCAGTTATTAGATAACCCATAATAATGTCTGCGAACAGAGCCATACAGAAAAAAAAAACCTGATTGAAGTAGTCTATAAAAGTTTCTGAATTATGTATTAACCTTGAAATAACTAAGTAAGTGCCAAAAATTGTTCATAAAGTTTCTACTGAACTGCTGAGATAAATTGTAGTTATTTATAATAAAGTTTACATTTCTGCGAATTTTGATGACAATATCGATATTAAAGAAAATATTCATAAATTACAAACAAACACCATCAGGTCTAATTACAATAGCTGGGTATTAAACAGCTTAGGGGATAAAAGATACATCCATTTCTGATACCTGCTCTTGATGTAAGTAGCTTTTTGTTGTTTCATATTATTGCAGCAATTTGCAAGCTTACAGATTTTATATTTTGCTTAATTTTTAGGACTTCAATTTTTTCCAAGAAAATTTTAATTTAAAGATTATTTTCCCTATAGAACAATATGGAAATGAAATAATAGAAATTTGTATTGTATTTGACAGAAAAATTTGTCAATAAAGAAGTATTCAATAATTAATCATGATTTAGAAATTATACAAGCCAAAAATATGAATAACCCGGCGTTACTGGCGAGGTGTGAGTACTAGGAAAAAATGGACCCTATTATTGCAAGAAGTGATGTGCATACCTATAAAAGAAGTAGTAAAAAAAATTGGAACAAATTACTGCATATATGCAAGAAAGTACTGCATATATGAAAGAAATTTATCATTTAGACGAAACTTGGTATGATATCCACAATACAGTTACGAAAGGTTGAACAGATGGTTCAAACATGTGCATATCAAAAATGGCTGCAAATAAAGGATTGTGTCTGATTGATCTGAAAACTCACTGATACCAAACTTGGAGCCAAATAGTATGATAGTGCTTCCTATCATTCCCGTAGGTCACTATGATATTAAATACATCTTCAAAGAAAGCTGAAATGCAAAGTTTTTAATGGAAAATGATTTGTATTTCAAAGATTTTTATACAAAAAAACCAACTTATTGAAGTTCTACACATGAAGCAATTAAAACATTATAAGCCTTAGAGAATATTGTCGAAAAGCATGGATACACAATATTGAAACTTCTATTTTTGTGTTTTCAATTTTATAGAGTAAGATATTTCCTAAATTTGATAAGAAGATAAATGAGGTAATAAAAGGTAATAAAATGAGGTAAAAAAAATTCAAAGAATATAGGCAAAAACATTGTTAAAGTGATCAAAGCTGAAGAATACTATAAGAAGGTTAGACACTTCCATATTAAAGAAGGAAACATATTTATTTATTATTGAATCAAATGATGAGATAGTGATGCAGATAATGCGGAAGAAGGAAAAAACGAACTGAAGGAAGCATCTAAGAGGGGTTTGGAAATAAAACAAAATAAAACAAAATACATAATATGTTCAAGAAAAAGTACAGTTAATGTGATAAGATGACGACAGTCTCAGAATCTTAGAGAGAAAAATCATTCGGAGAATAGCAGGCCCACTAAACTTAGGTAATCATGAATTTAGAAAACTAATCAACTACCAAGTAAGAGAAGTAAGAGAAAAGAAGAAGACATCATCAGATTTATCAAGGTACAGAGACAAAGATGGATGGGGTATCTAAAAAGGAGGAATCCAAAAGCAGTTAGAGATAGAAGCAAATACAGAGACCACTATCAGGCAGACCACGAGAAATACTTAAAACGAAATGGGAGAACCAGATAATTGCAGAGTTTACGAACATATGAGTAAGGAGAGATTAAAAACCATAAAAAACAAAAAAAAAAAAAAATATGGAGAAATATTGTAATAGACGACAAGTCACACAACCAATTGTAAAAATTATCTCAATTGTAAAAGAACTAACTAAATATGTCTAGTATGACCAAAAAGTGGCGAAGATACAATCGACCAACAATGTCAGAGATAAAATATAGCAAGGATTTGTCGTCGTTGGCCTTTTAGAAGGTTTTATATCATTTCGTAAAGATGTAATTAATTATTCAAGTGACCGCAATAAACCAATGTATAGGTCACAGTTTTTGGATCTTGCTTGAGGCAGAAATTCACAACAGTTCAGAAATTTCTTTTGTCCGAAAACCACTAAAAAATCTCATAAATGATCAAAAAGCATTCAATGAATACAGTTTTTTTCAAAAAGTCAAGATGAAGTGTATGTCCATGAACTAAAAATGTTAAATGCAAAACTGATTGTATGAATTATTATAAACAAAATTTTTGCATCAATCACATGAATACGCTATGTGATAGACACTATAAATAAATTATTCTGATTTTGATGACATATAGTTTAGCATGTTGACTAATTGCGAAAGAAATAATTAACGTTATTAAATTCACTTAAGGATTACAAATAATTTGATGGTAAAAACGATAAAAGAAGAATCAAGAAAAATGTTAAAATAATGAAAAACAGGTCGAGTGACTAAATAGAATAAGAAACGTTAGCAGGACCCAAAATTCAAATGCGGAACCAAAAAAAATATTTGTATATGCCAATTTCTTAAAGATGCATTTACAATTACATTATGCAGGTGGATGCACCTAATTCTTCTTTTCTTACAAACTTATTAGTAAATAAAATACTAAGTAAGGATATTATTGGTTATATAGCAGTAGTGGAGTATTATACAGTGTATTTGAAAGTAAGAGTGAAGTTAGACATTAATTTCTAATATATTTAAAAACGTTTTTTCTACCTTCAACGCCAGACAATCTTCCTGACATATCGTCCACTAAACTTCTTTGTCTCTCGGCTTTTCTAAGCAAATCTTCAGTTTCTTCGTCCTTTTCTTCTTCGTATATTCTCTTACCCTTCTGACTTTGCTGCCGTTCCAGGGCCTTTTCTTCTTTCTGATTCAAATAGTTATTGTCAATTTTTGATTCTTGAACTTCCTCCAATGTAGCTTTTTTACCCTTCTTTGATCGTTTTTGATCTTTACTTAGATCGGTTTCGTCAAGTGTTTGAGGTGGTTTAGTTAATTTTTCATCTTCGATAATATCAATGTCTTCTTTAGTAGCTGAAACACCCCTTTTAAGTTTCTTATTTTGTTCGTTTTCTGAAAGTCTTCTTTGTTTGGGTATAAGACCATCGTCTTTTTCTACAACTTCAATCTCTTCTTTACTAGCAGCGACTCCCTTTTTGGTCTTTTTTTCGAGATTCTTTTCTTCAACTGGTGTCGGTTCTGATTTTATTTCCTCTGTAATTTCTTCAATAGTCAAAGACATACCCCGTTTAGGTTTCGGTTTAGTTACTTCATTTTCTTCGAAAGATTTTGGTTTATTTTTGACTTCTTCTAGTTCAATATGATCTGCTTCTTCAACTGTCGCTGAGTTAGCTCTTTTCAAAGGTACTGGAGATTGCGGTTCTTCAATTATAGGTTCTGGAGATTTCACTTCTACTTCTTTGACTTCGATCGACTCTTTAGAACCTAGGATTTGTGTAAAAAGTTATTGTGTTTTCTTTGTTAAAAGAAAAGTGTATGTGTTTGATAAATAAAGTGGCATTTGAGCAATGTTATATGATTGCTTTACTTAGAGAAGTAGCTCTAACAAAACAGCAAATATCTACATTGTAAGCTCTGAGCCAGAACAGCAAAATACAAAAAGTATACTTTTGTGGGTATACCTGTTGACTCCAAAATATCACTTGTACATAAAATTAAATCAAAATTCAAGTTTTGTTGGGTGTTTTGATTTGAAATTAAAAAGACTATTAAGCAAAATGGACATTAAGGAATTTCTACTAAACAACAAAATTCTAATATATATTAAGGCTCTAAAACTGTTTTCTTGAACAGAAGCTTGGGCTCGTAAAACTCAATGGTTTAACTATGAGTACAAGAATGAAACAAAATAAAAAAATGAAGCCTACAGAAAGGTGCTTAACTAACAAACTAGAACAATAGTAGAGAATTACCAGATAAAGAGAAGAGAAGAGAAGAGAAGAATATACACAAAATAAAAAAACGAAACTACTTAATAATCTTCCAGCTGAACTATATAAAGAAGGTGGTCACGATTCCATAATGACACTACAGCATAATATAGCTCATAAGCATAACATAGCAGCTCATAAAGAAATGTGGACACAGAAATCCTGGCACAGTGATTGAAATACTGTAATACTTTGCACCATGTACAAAAAAGGGATATCTGTAAATACTCTAACCAGAGAGGAATTGTAGATATACAATTCATAAGATTGCACTCTTGAGCCAAATTTTAGAAAAAAATACTTGAATATGGCATGGATACTCATCACGTGTTTATAGACTTCAAAACAGCCTACGACTCTTTAAATAGAAGAGAAATGAAAATAAATCTTTTCCAAAAGTTAAATAAAGAGTACGAATACAGAAGGAACTGCCTGAACTTTTTAAAACAAATAGCCAGCTGAGCCAAGCTCTTCTGTATACTGTTCAATATGGTTATGGAAAAAATAATACGTATGTCACAAATCGAAACCACCGCTTCAATATATAACAAATCAGTGCAAATACTTGCGCATGCTGAAGATATCAATATTGTTGGAAGATTGTTAGAATGTTTCGAAAGAAAAGTATTAGAGCGAAACTATGAAGCTGTGAATAATAATGGAGTATGGAGCAGACGATACTTTCGAACTTTATAAAATATACCGGGAACCAAATATCGTAAAATATATTAAGATAGGCGTCTGAGTTACATAGGGCATGAAATGCAGATAGAAGAAAATGACCTAGAAAAGTTTTATTTAAAAATTTCTTTATAAAAGGTATAATAATTATATACTATAATCTATACAATGCTAGTCAGAAGTTCGTTCCCCTCCGCCGTAAAATTTGGAGGGAGGGAATAAACTTACAGGGTTCTTAACTAGTCATAACAAGTGACGTAATAGTAACAGATGACGTTACAGCGCCACCATGACAGATAATTTTAAATGGGACCTTAAGGCAAGTGAAACCTGGTTTGAAAGGTATTGAAAATAACTATTCAGTCATAATAATTTTGTTTGAGTTTAAGCTCATTTTGATGAATAAATTAAATAAATACTAAAATTGTAGCTTCTCATTTAATTAATAAATATTTAACAATCAGTTCTGATAGTAAGTGTTTAAAATATGCTCCATCTATTGGAAATTGGCCTACATTCTTCAACAATTCGTTGTTTCAAAATTTCAATATTGTCAGGTGCTGCAGCTTAAACTTTAGATTTCAAGTATCCCATAGAAAAAATCTAACGGTGTCTGGTCCGGTGACCGAGCTGGCTATTTTATCGTACCACGTCGTCCAATCCATCTACAACGATATTCCGCATCTAGGTAACGTCTTACTGCACCATAATGGTGTGCAGGAGCACCATCTTGTTAAATTGTTATTTCCAAGTTACCAAACTCATCTGGATTGTCCTCCAGAATGTTACCGGGTTCAATTGCATTTTGTAACATCTGCAGATACACTTCACCGGTTAAGTTAGTATTGAGAAAAATGGGTCCAACTATGTGGTTTTTAAAAATGCCTGCCCAAACATTTATTTTTTTTTTGAAAATTAAGTATGTTTCACAAAAGACATGATGATTTGTGTTACTCTAATACCTCACATTGTGTGTGTTTACATTTCCATTGAGAGAAAAAGTACTTTCGTCACTAAAACAAATTGTTTTTATGTAATCGGGCTGTTGGTTAATTTTATTGGACATATTTTCACAGAATTTCAGTCTTCGGTAGGGGCCATCATCTGAAACTTGGTGCAGGATTTTTAATTTGTTTTTAGATAACACTCGGTGTACTGTCTTTCGACTGATTCCATAGATAGATAAAACGTGGACCGTAGAAGAAGTAGGGTTCACAACCATTTCTGAAATTATGTCAATTTTTTGTCATCACTAACTGTTCGTCTACCAGACCGTTTGACATCTTGAACACTAACTGTTTATTTAAACTTCCGAAGAAGCTTCGTCAAATAAACTCTCGATGTAGGGCGATAGAGGTACCTCTTATTTAAAAGATACAAAATACTTTTTCTCACAATGAAAATGTTAACACACACAATGTGAGACACAATGTGATACAAATCCTCACGTCTTTCGTGAAACGCATACTCAATTTCCAAAAAAACAAAAAAAAGTTTGAGCTGGTATTTTGGGAAGCCACATAGTTGGGCCTATTTTTCTCAATACTAACTTAATCGGTGAAGTGCATCTGGAGATGTTACAAAATGCAATTGAACCGTTAATACTTGAAATTCTAGAGGATAATCCAGATGAATTCGGCAACTTGGAAATAACGTTTCAACAAGATGGTGCTCCTGCACACCATTATGGTGCAGTATGACGTTACCTACATTGACATTTTAAAAGAACGAATTGTTAAAGAATGAACGGCAATTTCCCCCGACACATTTGAACGAGTACCGCAAGCGTTTAGAAATAGGATGCATTACTCTCAGGAAGTAGATGGAGCACATTTTGAACACTTGCCATAAAAACTGATTGTGAAATATTTATTAATTAAATGAGAAGCTACAATTTTAGTATTTATTTATTAAAATGAGCTTAAACTCAAACAAAATTATTATGACTGAATAGGTATTTTCAATACCTTTCAAACGAGGTATCACTTGACATAAGGTCCGATTTAAAATTATATGTCAGGGTGGCGCTGTAACGTTATCTGTCACTATTTACGTCACCTGTTATGACTAGTTGAGAAGCCTACATCTGTTTATTACCTGCCTCCAAATTTCACTATTATAACAATAAGAGCTAAAAACAAATTATCTCTAATAGATCCATTGGTCAGAGAAGAAGAGGAAGACCTAGAACAAGGTTCCATAATAACATCGATGAAGACATGATTCTTGATGAAAATTACCAACCCAAGGATTAGACATCCTTGGGTTCACATAATTTGCTGAGGAAAACCAATACAGAGAAAAATTTACCAAAATTATTTCCAATCTTTGATAGAGAAAGGCACTTAAGTAAAAGCAACTACCAACCATAAGTAGTGCAATATATGGTTTAAATCGTATTCACAACGAATGGATTAAAAGTCAATAGGCGACACCGTAGATCCTTTAAGGATCTCAGTGTATTAGAAGTTTTTGAAAAAGGACAAAGAAGAGAAGAAACTCCGAGCAAAAACAACTGTGGATTTAGGGTTAAGCTGAATTACAATGGTGGAATGAAAGTAGGCTAAAATAAAAGACATAAATACTTTTGTGGGATCAGCAACAACAACATGATAAAATAAGATGAAATAAATTGCATATAAACTTTTAAGGTAAGTTATTATAGTTAAAATTTTTTTTATGGCTAATTGATCTTTATTAAAGCCATCTAATTCCTATTTAATAGGTAAACATCCCAACAAAACTGAAAAAACAGTGTATCGAAATGACAATTAAAATTTTATAATATTCAATTTTATCTAATAAAGTTTTTGTTATCCTACCTTTAGGTTTTTTAGGTTTCTCTTCCACTTCCTTAATTTCCGCTTGCTTCGGTTCTTCTACTTTCTCTTCAATTTTTTCCTCTATTTCCGCTACCTTAGCAGCCTTAGGTTTTTCGAGAACTTCGATAACTTCGGTTTCCTCAATGGCGTCAGTATGTGTTACTTCTGCAATTGGTTAGATGGGTAATCATTGGTTAAACACATAATGTAGGAAGGTGACAACTCACAGCAGACAAGATATTTAGGTAAATCTAGACTTTATGTAATATTATTATTATAATAATATGTTAAAATATACAAAATTTGGTTTTCTTACTGTATAAGAGGATGTTATAGGTTTTAATACGTTCATATATAACTATAATTGAACATGGCAGTGAAAATATACATAAAATATTTTGCACACCTTGTGCATTACATTTTTATAGTTATAAAGTTGCTTACACATCTATCAAACATTAACAAAAAAGAATATAGTCCTCTTTATATAAATATTATACAATCTATAGAACTGGTATTCTTACACAACTAATGGGGCTAAAAATAAACAAGTCAAAAATGTCTAAGGAAAGAAACACACAGTTTTTTTCTCACAATATTATCATATTTGTCATATACATCAATTTTATTGAACTTTAAAAAGTGACATACCGCTATAATGACTGATTAGTCAGTAATACAATCAGCTCAATTTTAGTGTACTATGATTTCTTTATGACGAAATAATCAAAGAAAAGTTAAAAAATTCACTAATTTAATGACCATTTTTAATATAAAAGTTAATATAAAGCATAAAAATCTAACAAAAAATGTATTTAATATTCTGTGTTTTCTTCAGCAGCATTAATTACAGTCTGACACCTCCTTGGCATGTTAAAATTAAATTATCCACTTCGTTTTGGATAAAGATCCACTTTTAAAGACCTTGTCTAGTATACACATTGTTCAGATCAAGAACAACCTGTCTTCGAAGCATATCTCATACATGATGGATAGGATTAAGATCTGACGATTGCACTTGCAATGGTAAGAGTGTTTTTTAGACATTTTTGATCTGCGTAATTGAATACTAAATTATTAAAAATCTTTGCCGTAAAGTTTTCTTAAATTACATGTCTTAAGTTAGTACACTTATACATCCTCTTCAACAATAAGAGCTGGAGTTGCCAATTATAATATCGGACATATTTTGGGAACGATATTTCTATAGTTGAAGTGATCTACTAGGTCTACCTACAAATAGCCACAGGGAAAGCTTTCATAGATCCCGTGGGAAGGGTTTTTTAAAAATAAAATATAAATGAGGATTTTTCTGTAAATCCTTTAAAACTTGTGAAGATGACAGAGACAAAAACAACGAAATGGTAATTTGGGTTTCACACAATAGTCTAATACTATTTCAGATGCTCTTACCTTCATATTTATTTTATGAAAGGAATATATAAGTGGTGGTATGTTAGTAGAAATAAATATATTTATTACGTAAGGACATTCAAGAGATATCACTGTAATTGGCTTGCCCATATTTTATCTTACCACATTTTATTATTACCTATCATCAACAATAGTTCTTTCTTCGATTATCCTTTTCCCTCTTGTTTTTTTTTCATCTGAGTTGGTCTGAAAATTTTCATTTCATTTTTTTATTATAATTTCTGTACTTCTCGTCCAAGAATTCGAAAATGTAAGCACTTTATGTTTGACATCCTTTTTTTAATTTAGCTTGATTTTGAGCCTTATTAGCTGATCCATTCTGATCAGAAATATTTTTATTGCGTAACGTGTTACGTCTTTTCCTGGGCTACAGATTTTTATTATCAAAGTTAACATGAGGAAATGACAAGCAAGTAATTGTTATCTAATACCTGAGACCTAACTGTACAGACATAATAGTATATTACATAACGAGAGTTGTAAGAAGCTTATTACATGCGAGTAAAAAAGTTGCGCGCGAGCCGCGTAGCGGCAAGCGCAGTAATTTTACAAGCATGTAATAATCTTACAACTCAAGTTGTGTACTATACTTTTTCTACCATTATTTTGTTTATAAAAATAAAAATTAAATTACCACTATATTTACACTGACAGTTTAATAATTTTTAATCTGTCAAAATAACGTTACCATGGAAACGTTAATTCGTTTCCATGGTAACTCGACCAACTGACTTACGAGGCTTATGTGATATTACACATTTTTATAAAACTGAAGCGTAATTTTTTTTATTACGTGCTAGTCATTACGTGTCAGTATCTGTTATGATGCATTTACTTAGCATCCAAATAGTAGGTAATATACAATTTACTAGTAAGAGAGTAGAAAAACACATATTATATATTGATATATATATATATATATATATATATATATATATATATATATATTGATCTTTAAAAACGAGACCAAAGAAAGCAGGTACACCTTTGAAGTGTTAGCTTGGTGATTTCGTCTAATAAAATAAAAAGCTCTATATCACTTAATTTGAAATAACTCCGTGGCCAAAATAACTTCGTGGCTACATAGGTTAAATATAAAACTTAATAATGTTTAAATAATAAAAAACAATAACAGTGCTTTTGGAATTCTGCTTTTCCTACACGTTAGAAGGTATTCTGTTTGTTTTCTCAACTTTTTATTTACTTCTGTTTTATGTACTTTCCAAATTTTACATAATAACTGATTTAGTTTTGTTTTTTTTCTTTAAAAAACTAAATGTTTAATTTTTATGGTTCATAAGTTAAACTTTTGCTCCACTTCCATTTTTTAGAGCTGCATATCCTTGTAAGATGAACTAATGACGTAAGTATATGGATTCATATACGAAACGTCTTTTTAATAAAGGATGAAGTATTAAATATACTTTTTTTTATTTTCCAAATTTGGACCGATAACCCTTAAGTGTCCTCATCATCGTCATAGTCAGTAACATATTGGCAGATGCGTTGTGGTCCATCATTGAGCTTTAGCAGCTCGGATGGTCTGATTAATGTTATTTCTCCATTACCAGCATCCTAATGAACTACATAGTTTTGTTCTGAAGCTATTTTCTTGTGGCATTGTAAATTAATTACTATTTATAACTGGGAATAAGCCACAATTAAAGATAAAAAATACGTTTATTGACGTTTCAATTTCCAATTCGGAAATCGTTCTCAAAATACAAACAGTAAATTAAACAAATTTTGTTTTTTGTTACATAGTGAAAAAATTCTTCTAATAATTTAATTTTATCTGACTCATTTATATTGACAATTCAGACATACATTATGCATTTTAAAGTAGACGACTTTAAAATGATATTGCCAATATTGTTGAGTTGCGCTCCTGGGACGACTTTACTATAAGATAGTTCATTCGATTACATGAAATCAACTTTAACTTGAGAATATCCGCCAGAAAAAATCATAGCATGTAATTCGTCTTTAAAAAGACAAACACATGACATGATGACAGTAAAATTCTCCTGTTAGTGATTCCATAGTAAATTATGAGGGAAAAACCAGGAAAAAAACCTCATAATACTATCCCGACATTGTAAGTATTTGTTCGTGAATTTAGTTTACCTTCAACAAACATCAAAATTCTGATTTTATATGTTACAAATATTTATTTTTACGTCAATAAACGTATTTTTTATCTTTAATTGTGGCTTATTCCCAGTTATAAATAGTAATTGAACTACATAGTTGTTATATACTATATATGTATACATATATATATATATATATATATATATATATATATATATATATATATATATATATATATATATATATATATATATTATATAGTATATAACAACTATGTAGTAAATAGTACATATATATATATATATATATATATATATATATATATATATATATACCAAAAAACAAAATACTATATCGATGAAAGGCAACTATATATTCGTATTTCTGACTATTGGTCGTCTTCAATACGGTGCAGTCAAGTATAAAAGCAGCATGAAAACTTGGAAAAGGATCACTTAGTGGCTGCACTGTACTGAAGACGACCAATAGTCAGAAATACTCATATATGGTTGCCTTCCATCGATTTTGTTTTTCGTCTTCCTGTTTTGCGAGACATGGCCATTGCATTTTACTTTTATTATTTACTAGCAAATTACCGTTTTTCTGTCTTTTCCACTATATATATATATATATATATATATATATATATATATATATATATATATATATATATATATATATATCTAACGAAACTGCGTTATCTAGAAAACGAAACAGACATTAACAGGAACTACGAAAAACATTTTGAAAAATTTAGCGAGAGGTTAATTTTTGATTAAAGTGGGATTTTTTTGGTATTTTTAACTACTTTACTTTCACCCATCAGCCAGTGAAAAATCAACATTTTTTAATGGCAATGGGAGTCAAATAAGTCATTTGAATTCCGTTGCAATTCCCTATACATTGGTCTTAAGCTTTTTAAGTTGGACCCAGTACTTTATTAGATTTATTACATTTTTTTTAAATTAATATTTTTAACCGGTCACTTATTTCTTAGTTGAGCAAGTGGTGAAACTGATCACCTTCGGCAACCATACAAAGATAAAGGCTTATTTGAAACGTTCCTCTACATTCCGAAGCATTTGCGGAGTGATTCGTAGGCAGTCGTTGACAATTCGTTAACGTAAATCTTCTTAAGATACGGGTGGTGTTCTATAAATTTTACTTTTTGGATGTCAGCACAAAAAATTCAGGGGATACAAATCTGGTGACCGATGCGGCTATTCGATACTGCCTCTACTATGCATCCAACGTCGTGGAAAATTGTTGTCTATATATTGAGGAACAAGTAAAGCATAATGTGGAGGAGCACCGTCTTGTTGTAAAATCAAATGATCCTTATTATATTGTTGATCATTTTTAATAGTATCAGTCAAGGCAGAATTATACACGTCTTCCAGTAATTGTAAATATATTTCGCCAGTCAAACTGAGAGGTAAAAAAATATAGTCATACTAGTCGATCATCAAAAATACCAGCCCATATATTTAATTTTTGCGGTTGTTGTGTTTGCACCTTGTGGACAATCTTCGGACGTTAGTTCGGTTGATTCCAGATGCTACTTGCCTCATACTGAATATGGAATCTAGGTAAACTTGTCGTAATACTGTAACTACATTAGGTTCATTATCTACAGGCCCTTCAGTCTCTCGTTTTTTATTACCAACATTCCCAGTTCCCTGAATTTTTGTTTTACTAACTCCAAAACATACTTCCCACTGTCGTATTTATCTCGATGCCGTTAATTAAATGAATGAGCTGTCATAATGGCACATTTATTGTTCATAAAATATAACAAAACGCCATATACTCTTTCCGAAATGGAATAAACTACGGTAATAATGTTTCAAAGACTACAATTTAATGCTTATATCTGATTTTAATTTTATTTTTTTTATGTGTTTTATGTATGTATATCATATCATTTACTTAGTATGACAAATATGAAAAAACAAAAAGCTGGAGTAAAAAACGTAACGATAGAGGAGATCGTCCAATACAAATCTGCCAAAAACAAAGTCTAATAATCACAAACACGTTCTATAAATTGCCTATGAGACGGTTATATACATGGCGCTCACCAACAGATAAACCGGAAAAAGTGGCAAGAAACTAAATTAGTTATATAATGATTAAAGAGGGATGTCGTAACACCATCAATCAGTTAAAATCCAGGAGCAGATGTCATATCAAAAATAACCCTTCTTCAAGTGCCATCTTCGTTCCGAAGGTTGGCGATCATCAGGGCTATACGTATTTTTGAAACTGCTGACCGAAACAATTCGTTGTTGCTACAGCTATACCATTCCCGTAGATTCTTTAGCCAGGAGTTTCGTCTTCTTCCTATGGACCTTTTTCCTGCTATTTCCCTTGCATAATTATTTGAAGCAGTTCATATCTTTCGCCTCTTGTAATGTGTCCCAAGTGTTAAAAAACAACCCACTAATCGCTAATGTCACACTTAAGCTTAAACGTATTAGAGAATCCTAAAGAATTATATGTTAGAAAACTGAAAGAAGCTGGTATAAAAAAAACTCTAACAGAAAATATACGAAAACTTTGATAAATTAGATACTAACACCTACGAGATAAACCAACAATGGGAAACATTAAAAAAACTGACTCCTCGTTCCATGCAAAGAGATACTAAAAGAACCGATAAGAAAAAGAGACAACTGGATGACCGACGACATACTCGGCAGGATGGACCAAAGAAGACAAGCTAAGAACAAAGACAAACAATTAGGAAAACAATAACAATGAAATCAGAAAATGATAAGAGATGCAAAACAAACATACAATGGGGAAAATGTAAAGACATATAAGATCTTCAGAACAAATACGACCTATTCAACCTACATAAAAAGGGTAAAAAAATGACAGGGTTGCAAAAAAGAATCCACAACACAACTCTTTCAGATAAAAATGAAAATACTATGATAACGAATAAGGAAAAGCTAAAATGATAGAAAGAATATATGGAATGGCTCTTCGACAACGAAAGAGGAAACCTACAAGACATATCTTTTGAGGACAGAGAAACAAGTATAGAAATTACAAATAAAGAAATATTGTATGCACTAAAGGACACCAGTAACGAAAAAGCCCAAAAAAAAAAACAACTGCCTATTGATTTCTTTATAATAATAGAAAACGAGTACACGGATGTACTCGTAAAGCTCTTTAATGAAATTTATCAGTCGGGTGACATACCCAATGAATGGTTGACCTCCATTTATTTGTTTTCCAAAAAAGAAAAATTCTAGAGAATGCTCCGACCACCGCACCATAAGCCTGATGTCTCACTCACTTACAATATTTTTGAAGATCATCGATAAACGAATTTACCAAATACTTGATATGGATATTGAAGAAACCCAATTTGGATTCCGTAGAAGCTTAGGTACCCGTGAAACTCTCTTTTCATTCAACGTACTAATCCAGTGATGCTTGGATATGAACCAAGATATGTACGTCTGTTTGATAGATTACAACAAGGCTGTCGATACAGTCCGCCACAAAGAGCTAATGGACGTCCTCAAAGCAAAATAATTACAATATTATGACCTTTGAATTCTAAAAAATCTATATTATAAACAAAACAGCCATACATACGCATTAATGAACACACATTAGAAGAGTTCGAAATTAAAAGATGAGTGCAAGAGGTATGTATTGTAACCACTACTATTCAATGCATACTCTAAATAAATTATGAAAAGAGCTCTTGAGGGAGAAACAGCAGGAATAAAGGTCAATAGTACACCAATTAACAACAATAGATATGCGGACGATATTATTATAATAACCTCCAAGACCTCCAAAAACTAATAAGCAAGATAGTTGAGTATGGAGAAGAATATGGATTATCAATAAACATCAAGAAAACTAAATTTATAAGGATATCAAAAACCCAAAATAGAGCTGAAAGCCTGATAATTAGAGGTACAACTTTAGAACAAGTTGAAAACTACAATTATCTTGACACAATAATTAATTACACAAACGATTACTCCAAAGAAATAAAAGGTCAAATAGAGAAAGCGCGAACAAACTTCAATAAAATGAGAGTACTTTGCGCAAGAGAACTGAAATTAGACTTGAGAGTTAGGCTGCCAAGATATTATATTTTCTCGACTCTGCTTTACGGGATAGAAGCACGGACACTTAACGCGTCGACTACTAAAAAGTTGGAAGCATTTGAACTATGGGTGTATGGAAGAATCCTGAAGATATCATGGACCGAGTATGTAACAAACAACGAAGTCATGAGAAGAGTCAACCAAAGAATGGAAATATTGAAAATATCAAGAAACGAAAGCTGCAATACCTGGGGCATGTTATGCGTAATGAAATATTCAACATACTTCAATTAATTATACAACAGAAAATTCAGGGCCAGAGAAAGGTAGGAAGGAGAAGAATCTCATGGTTGTTTAACTTGATGGAATGGTACGGATGCACATCAGTTGAACTATTCAGAGCGGTAGCATCTAAGCAGTAGCGCACCCAGGGGGGTTTGGGGGTTCAACCCCCCCCCAAAACCCTATTCCAATACTGTTACTCACAAATTTTAAGGACTCAAAATGAAGGTCAGATCAAAAACAATTTTTGGTACCCTACCAAACCCCCCCCCCAGAGGAAAATTCTGGGTGCGCTACTGCATCTAAGATCTAAATAGCCATGATGATTGCCAAACCTCCGTCGCGGAGGTGGCACGTAAAGAAGAAGGGATAAAAAAGAAATTAAAATCTAAACATTGGCGTACCAAATTAACTTATTAATCAGATAAATACAATTTAAAGTTTAAAATTCTTTTTAAATAAATAAAATAAAGTGTTAAAATTTAAAAATTTACAAATTAATGTACAAGGAATTGCAAGGGCTTTAAAACAATATTTGATTTGTACCCTGGCTTAGAGGTAACATTAAAATAATCAAAAATATCGAAAAAATATGTTCCACTGTAATCGAAAACTGAAATGCCGCTGGGTGTTTCAAAAATAATGTCGTAGTTCCTGATAATGCCTTTGTGCAATTTTCATCTGGCCAACCTGTATTCTACTTGTCAATTTAAGTTGACAACATATGGGAAACTTTTTTATTATAAATTGTGTGAAAAAACTTATTCTTTATAAAAAGTTCAACATGGTCTGAAACCAAAGATACAACCATCGGTATCAAATGTTATCAATTTTATACAAGGTATGCCAAAAATATGAATTCTGCTTGAGAGTAAAATAACTTTATATTTCACAATATCGGAAATGGTTATTTTCGATATTATATCGAATATATAATATCGAAAATGGTTATTTAATGGTAACTAATGTTTTAAATCTTGTATATTTCTTGTGAGAGTTATTGTAGAGATAATTCGAACAATAAAAAAATACTATAAATTAACGCAACAGCATATTTAAACGTGATTTTTAAACCCGAAAAACTTTTCATAATAATTATTTTTGATGTTGTGAAATATAAAGGTACATTCCTCTCGAATAAAATTCATATTTTTTACCATACCTCGTACAAGATTGAAACAATTTAATACCTTATAATTATATTTAAGATTTCAGAATATGCCGAACTTTTTATATACAATAACTTTTTTTCGTAAAATTAATAATAAAAAAGTTTCCCATATGTTACCAAACGTACTCATATTTATAAAACATTGGTTGGCATGTCTAAATCTACTGCAAAAGTTACATTTTGCAAATACATATTCTACTCGCCTAAAAAAGAAGAATAAACAATATATTAACATTTTCTTCCAAAAATACTTACTGTGTACTGTAACTATGCTCTTGCTGCTGACAGTTCCAAGCGAGTTAGTCACGATCACCTCGTACTCCCCTTGTTCCTCGTACTTGATCAAATTGACGGCAAGATTGAACGTCTCGTGTCGTTGGGTGTCTTTGGTGATCTTGATTCGTGCGTCTGCCGATACCTCACGTCCATTCCTCAACCATTTGACAGTAGGCGACGGACAACCTTCCACTTCCACCTCCAAGTGAAGCGTGGATCCTTCTTCAACGGTTGTATCTTTCAAATGCTTGATGATTCGTGGTGCACCTTGAAAAAGATTAAATTAAATACAATAAATTCTAAAATTTAAGAGATTTTGACATGTTCTTTTTATTCCGTAGGTTCGATTATAAATTTATTAGTTTTTGAGGACATCTTAGCTTAACAGTTTGCTATTTCTAAGATCAGAAAATTGGAAGTAAGGGAAGGTGAGGGAATTTTACGCAGCTGGTGTGATGTGCGCACGTCCAAATGTCTAAAGGTCGATTCAGACACATCAGTCACGTCTCGTCACAGTGATTGCGCCGAACCGAACAATCCGTCATACAAAATATTCTTTAATACAAATATGTTGCCGGCATTCACACTCATGAGTTGACAAACAGTTTCCCAGCTGTCAGAGAGTTGATAGTTCTGTGACCAAATAGGACCGGTTCGGCGCCGAGACTATGACGGGACTGATGTGTCTGAATTGACCTTAACAAAGCATATCAGTTAACGGGCAGAGATATTGCTACACGTGTTTACGAATTTTAGTTGTTATTGAGACAAAGTGTAAGAAAGTAAGCGTTAATCTTTTTTGTACTATTGTTTTTGTGTTAACAAATGAAAAAGTGATTTACTAGGAACTTGCTTATTAAGTTTATGTTGATGTTAAAACAGCTCCAGTTGCTGTTATCTAAGGCAGAACAATTAGAGAAGTTGGACGAAGTTTCAACCTCTCCGAGGCAACTCTTTGTTACAAAATAAGGATGAATCATCAGAGACCAATGTCTAAACTTGGTCGAAAGCCTATCTTTATGGAAGAATAAGAGAAGGAATTAACTAAATATATCTTTGGAGCTAGCTAAAATGTTTTATGGTCTCACTATTAGAGAGTTGGGGCAATTGGTATATTAATATGCAGATACAAATGAAAGCAGGCACAATTTTTGTAAAGAGACTAAACTTGTTGGAAAAGACTGGGTTACTTTGTTCTTAACGAACTAAGAAATATATCGAGTAAACCAGAAGGGACAAGTTTTAATCGAATAATAGCCTTTAATAAAATCGAGCTCAAGAGATCGAGGTCCAAGGAATAGAAAAAAGTAGATTCTGCAATCTTGTTGAAAGAGGAAACACCGTTACAATAGTTTGTGTAATAAGTGCATCTAGAGGATACATTCCACCGATGTTTATCTTCCCCAGCATAATGAGTCCCCAAATAATGGCCCGATAGGTGCAGTATATCACTGCTCCAATAATGGTTAAAGCTCTTTAAATACCATATTAATTCTAATCCACAGTTCCCTGTTTTATTAATATTTGACAATTACACCAGTCATATTTCACTGGAGATATATTTATTTTGTAAAGGTAATTCAATTCACCTCATATCCATACTTCCGCAGACTTCCCATACGCTACAGCACCTTATCCTTTTATTTTTTAGCTCTATTAAGGGAGCCTATAATAAAGAATGTTCATTATATCCCAGAGCTGATTCATAAGAGAATAGATAACTTTTAGTTAGCTGAGATTTTTAACAAAGCCTATCTAAAAGTTGCTACAATGAAGAAAGGAATCGCTGGCTTTAGATCTGCTGGTATTTATTCTTTCAACCCAGATTAAGCAACTGGAATATCACGTTATTAATGAAAATAGCAACATAACTCCAAAGGAAGTTTGACAAATAAATTTTCAAATAGACCCGATTCCTGGAGAATCAAAAGCCAATAATCCTTTTTCGAATTTATTACCACTACCAGTTCACACAATCTCAAAAAAACTAAGACATGTACAAAAAATCCATCTGAAATTCTGACATCCACACCAATGAACAATATTACCGAAAAAGCTAACTTGATGAGAAAAAAGTGTAATGAGAAGAAGGTAGATGCTACAAAAAGAAAAAATGTTTGGCAAAGAGAAATACATCTGTGATGATGATGAACTAGACGATGTGGATCCGACTGTAACGATTCTGGAAGAACAGAGAATTGTGGTATTAATGTGGATCTTGTCTGTGTTGGGCTCATGCCCCTTGTACTGCGAGAGAAAGTTCGAAGGACCATATATGTGACATATGTGTTAAATACATACTCAGTTTAAATTAAAAAATGTTTTGTAATAAAAAAATCAAACTGTGTACTTTTTATAATTTGCGTAAAATTTCGCGATAAACGGTGTAAAGCTACCCACATAGATGTATCATTTTGCGCACCAAACAAAAAAATTTAATTGACTATTTCACTAGACTATTTTTAACTGATAAAACGTCCTAGCAACGCCACGTTTCCTACTGAAAAAACTCCTTCCTGCCCAGGATTTCTCAGCGACAAAATTAACGACACCGTCACGAAGCCGTCTGGTAATTCTATTGTTGTCAGTTTGACAAACGTCATTGGGGCGTAATCAATTTCGGACAGATATAATGATTCCAGACAAAAAATTCAAGATTTGGATGCCAGTCAGGTGAAGAATTAAAAAAATTGGTTTCAGAAAATATCCCATTAAACACGGAGAAACCCAGAAGCTCTATTTGGACCCAATTTTCCTATGGGTGAGAAATTTTACACTTGAAAGATATACTACTATAATATAATTAGCAAAAAAGGCAATGGCGAAGACTATAAAGAGTCGTCTGTAAAGTCAATGTGGAATACTACAGTAAAAATGGTACAAAAAATATATTTTACGGAGTACAGCATAAAAATCGACCTTTCCACAGATATATCTTTAAAATGTGTAAGATTGGCCAGAGATACCAAGCGGAGGCAGTTTCAAAGTATTCAAGAAAAAAGAAAACTCAGTTAAAAAGCATTATCCACCGAAAAACTATTAAAAGTCATCCAAAGCTACGACGAGGAAACCCCCGATAGAGCACAAAAAAAGTTTTCTTACCTTTATTCATTTGAACTTGCTTGGAGTGGCAATGAGGCCGTAAACTGCGAGATTCACTTTTTCCAGAAGGAATTTGATGTTATTGGAGAATTTACGGGCTGAATTGAATACAACAGCATTTTTTCCAAAACAGGTCAAGGCGGTTTGAAAAGTTTGGCAAGCAGCAAATGAAAATTCATCATACGCAAATTTTTGACCAGTTAGATTATTTTAAAATTAATGGAAAAAAGAGGACCACAGATTTTATCAGACAGACCCTTTCTTACCGTTCATCCCAACTGGAAGAATAGATCTTGGTTTAAAAACTGTTCACTGTGATGTTCCCCTGTTGTGGTTTTGATGACAGATATGTTAAATTTTTTGGACTATCAGATTTAACAAATATATGTTGCACTGAATTGAAGAAAGTGAATCGGTCATATAGCTAGAAATTTCGTATTAGGAGAACTTCTTTCAAGAGCTTAAGGCAAGCAGCAAATGGAAATTCATCAAACGCAAATTTATGACCAGTTAGATTATTTTAAAATTATTGGAAAAAAGCGGACCACAGATTTTATCAGACAGACTCTTTCTTACCATTCACCCCAACTTGAAGAAGAGAGCTAGAAGAGAGTTAAAAGCTTGCCCAGGTACAGATGCAGAGCTAATCCAACCACTCTTGAAAAGGGCTTGGAGAGAGGAAAAGTTCCCCAAAGAATGGAAAACGGGATTAATAATAAAGATACCAAAAAAGGGTGACAGAAGATATTGCGAAAACTGGAGAGGAATCACACTTCTGAATACTATAAATAAATTAACAGCAATAATTATAAACAACCGACTAACAAACAGTGTAGAACCAATGTTGAGGAAGGAACAAGCCGGTTTCAGACCAAACAGATCATGCGTGGACCAAATTAACACACTAAGAATAATTGTAGAACAGTCACAGGAATTTAACTCTCCTCTCTTTGTGTGCTTTGTGGACTTCAAGAGAGCTTTTGACACGCTCACACATACGGCCATATGGAAAGCACTGCAGGAAATAGGAATACCAGAAAAAATAGTAAATCTCATCAAAGAACTCTACAGTGACACAGAAAGCAAAATCCTACACAACGGCATAACATCTGACCCAATAGCTATGCTAAACGGAGTAAAGCAGGGCTGTGTTTTATCCCCTATACTATTTAACATTGTACTGGACTCCGTACTAACAAAGGTAAACTCTAATAGAGGAATTTACTGGGGATTAACAAACATACTGGAAGACCTAGATTACGCTGATGATATATGCTTCCTAGCACATACAAAACAGGACATGCAGCTCCAAGTAAAACAAAGCACAAGAAGAATCAAAGAAGGTTGGTCTAGAAATAAACACCAACAAAACCAAAGAAATGCGATTTGGTACCAGAAACAACCAACCTATTATTGACTGTAATGGGGGTACAGAGCGTGATGTACATGAAAGAATAAATAAGGCTCGCAACGCCTACAACATGCTTAACAACATATGGAAATCCAGGATTTACCCAACTAAAACGAAACTAAAAATCTTCAACACAAATGTAAAAGCTGTATTACTGTATGGCTGCGAAACGTGGAAGATATCAGCACCCATAGTACACCAATTACAAGTTTTCATCAATAGAGCGTTACGAAAAATCCTTCGTATATTTTGGCCTAACCGAATCTCCAATGAAAATTTATGGAACCAAAGCAACCAAGAAAATGTCATAAAGCAAATAAGGCGAAGAAAATGGAGATGGCTGGGCAACATACTCCGTAGACCGCCAAATGACATTGCCAGGACAGCGCTGGATTGGAATCCCCAAGGCCGACGGAAAGTAGGCAGACCTAAGGGAACTTGGAGAAGGACAGTACTGGACAGAACAGATACAGAAATAGAGTTCGCTGGAGACACTTTGTGGAAGCCCTATGTTCCTCTTAGGAATCTTGGGACTATATATATGAAGAAGAGATCTTGGTTCAAAAACTGTCCACTGTGATGTTTCCCTGCTGTGGTTTTGATGACAAATGTGTTACATTTTTTGGACTATCTCATTTAACGAGTACATATTGGACTGAATTGAAGAAAGAGAATCATATAGCTAGAAATTTCGTATTAGGAGAAGTCCTTTCAAGAGCTTTAAGGATACCATATGATTCTGCAGTGTGAATACTACAAGTTGTTGGTAGTTGGTGTAGAGCTAAGGTTATGTTTTCGATACAGACAGCACAACTAATATTCTTTTCATCTTTAGATGCGTCGGTATAAGAAACTTGATTGTACTATTTTTTATTTGTTGCTTCTTGAAATAATTGTCAAAAGGGGGGATTAGAAATGTCTTATTTTTTATTTTGAGTTAGACTAGTATTGAAAGCAGGTAACTTTTTTCCATGGAGGAAAATTGGAAGTACTTATGGGGGTAGTTATATTTAAGTCTATAGCTGCTAGCGAAGGACTTACTAATTGTAGAATTGGTGTAAACAGATCTGCCTCTATTTTCAAAAGCGTGGTAGATGTTAATGAGCTTACTGATTACTGGATTTTTTGGATTGGCGGAAAGTCTAGTGAAATAAGAAGAGAGTAAAAGCTGACGTCGTATGAAAAGATGAGGTTCCAAAGCTTCAATACACATGCTTTTGGCGGTGCTAGATTGAAATCTAGCCCCGGTTTGGGCTAGATTTCCAAGTCCACTTGGAATCAACACCGTATCTAAGTGGACAAAATTGTCAGCTGAAAAAATTGGAATAGACAAAAAAAAAACATAAAATAAGAAACCATTCTCATCGATCTTGACCTGTGTCAGCTTTGTTCAAGCAAGGTGTTTCTACACAGGAGTTAATTAAATTAACGAGTCACTTAAATGAAAGCTCTCTGAAACCGTATCTGCAGCTGGATTCCTGTCACATTGCTGGCAAAATTTTCTCTCTTATGATATTATATACGATAATTTCCGAATGTGCATTTACCGTTTGACTCTATGTGTATAATATACGCCTAGGATTAACTTTCGTAACTTAACTATATTAATTTAAAAAGTTTTAATAACTTAATAAGCAACAATAAAGACGGTTTTGCTTAAGTGCGTAGAATTCCCCCACCTTCCCTTAATACTTACAATTAACTGTTAATTTAGCACTAGTTTCTACTCCTCCACATTCGTTGCTTAGCTTGCACGTATACTGTCCCGATAGTTGGCTTGTTACTTCTTTTATAATCAGAGAAGCTCCATCATCAGATTCTATTCTGGTAAATTCTGTTCTTGTTTCTTTGATTTCTACTTCATCCAAATACCTATAACAGATTTAATTCAAATAATGCTTGAATCCAAATGTAAAGCTAATTATATTCTAAAACTGCCTCAAGTCAATTGGTCTTAAACTGAATAAAAAAGAATTTGAATTCTAGAAGGCACATGCGTATCTTTTTTCTCAAGCGATCATAGGCAAAACCGAAAAGGATAAGGTTTTCCAGAAGAACACAAATCTGGAAACTAATGAGAAAAAATGATATTTTATAATAAACCATTTAACCTTAATATGTCTTAATATTTAATAATAATGGATGATATTAATGCCATAGTTGGTAGTGGTCTAGGTACCAGAAACAATAAGGGAGATTGTACGGTTCTGCGTAGAGAACAAAGTTGTAATAGCCAACACCTTCATCAAACAGTACATCTTAAAAGAATATACACTTGGAAATCACCTGCAGATAAAGGCAATAGAATACATATAATTTAAACTGACCTCATTTTGCTCGATCACAACTTTTAGAAGTACATAAAATTAACTCTGGAGCTCACATTTAGAGCTATCACAATCCAGTTATAATGAATTTTAGACTCAAAAGATTTCTGATAGTTAGAAATGGATAACACAAAATATCATGGATCTCATGGATATAAAACGAAAACAAAACAAACCCAATAGAATACAAACGAATCAATAAAATTATTAGAAAAAGTATAGATAAGCCAAAGAAAACTCAATGCTAACAAAATGCCTAGAAATTGAACAACTTCAGGAAACATACGACATTTTCAGTGTCCATAAATAAGTGATAGAAATGACGGGTAGACATAGAAATAGGTAAGAAACAATATTAAGAAATACTAATATTGAAATAATTATAGGTACAGAAGACAAAATGTAGAGATGAAAAGAATCGAAGACATTTTAACGACGATAGACCTTGTTCTCCACCATCCAAAGATGATCGAATAAATAAAGAAGGTCCAGAAATAACTAAAGAAGAGGCTATTATTGCAGTAAATAATTAAAAAACCGGGAAAGTCACCGGTTCAGACAATATCAATGTCGAAGTACCTACTTAAACTAATTGCAGACCACGAAAGCAAAAGCCTAGCCTTGATAACAGCACTATTTAATAGGATATATGATATATTTAATACGAAAAACCCAATTCTTTACAATGCATGACTATAAAATATTAAGCTTAATGTCTCATGTCTTTAAAACTTTTCTCAGAATCATCCACATACCAATTTAAAAGAAGTATGAGTTTCAGACAAGTATCACTTAATTTGGATTTCGAAACGAATTGGGACCACGAGAAGTTCTTTTTGCCTTAAATCTGTTAACATAACAATAAAGAGACATAAACGTACATGTATACGCATTTGTGTTAATTATTGAAAACCATTTGACTGTGTTGCCCATTTAAAGATGATCGAAATTCTGAAAACAACGAATACGAATCGTCCGGGGGGTGCGACAGGGTTGAGTCTTACCACCGCTAATCTGTATTCAAAATTTAAATTCAGAAAAGCATTAGACGAGGTCGAAGGTGAAATAATGATTAACGGAAGCGTAGCAAAGCTATAATTGCCATGTGTATCGCCAACCTTCGCAAGAAGACGGCACAATAAAGAAGAAACTTAATACCACTATAAAGCTAAAATTTCATAAGATAAATTTCTACTACAAACTAATCTAAGAGTTTTAAATGTTTCAGGCAATTCTTAAATTAAATAGTTTTAGAACAACATTTGTAGTCGTGCTTGTTCTTAAAGAAATTCGAAAGCAGAATCCCAATTTTATAAAAGTTTGGCAATAAACCGTCAAATTCACTTACCATTTAACCGTAGGCTTCGGGAAAGCTTCAAGCTTGACGTCAAGGGATACGTTCTTATCATGCTCTACAACAGTCATATCTCTAAGTCCTTGAATTATCTTTGGTGGTTTCTTAACGTCAACTCTAACTTCATCATCAACACTTCCATGAATATTCAAAGCTCTGCATTTATATCTAGCTGCATCTGTGGTAACTGCGCCGGTTATCTTGAGGGCATAACTATCACCGTCTTCTTTAATAGTGTAATGTTCGTTAGACTTGATTTCTTCTTCGTCTTTGAACCATTTCACTTCCGCCTTTGGTTCAGACTCCAACTTAACTTTGAGCTCTAGATTTTGACCTTGAGATAGTTGTCTGTCGGCTCCCAACTTTTGGATCACCTTGGGTTTAGAATATACGTCCAGGTTCCAGAATTGCGATACCTGGGCCATTTCGTTGGTTGCAACCACAGAATAAGAACCTTTAAAAATATTGATTTATTAATGGTAAAATTTGTTTTGAAAAAAAAAAAACAAAATAAAAATGATTTCGTACACCACATTTGTACTTTGATCTTACTTTATTCTACATATAATACATATTAATATCTTATAAGAAACAGAAAGTAGCATGAGAAAGTAAATAAAGGAGAGAGTAATAAAATCTGATACGAAGTATCATTATAAAAATTGGATTGGTATATTACGCTGACAAATTTTCAGATTCTTTACTGTTTGCAAGATCCTACAGTTTTATCTAGTAGTAGCAACGATAGGAATTCTCTGCTACTATTGCTATTAATATGGTCGACTTGGCAAAAACAAAAAGTTGAACATGGTCGACTTGGCAAACAGAAAAAAACAGAAGAAAAAAAAAATGAAAATAGGTAGATAACAACGTTTCTTTAAATAAGTTGTTTCGATAATTAATTGTCAAATAACGAATATAATGATTGTAGAAACCCTTTTTATAACTATTTATATTTTGGTTTTTCAAGCATAAACACTCAACCAATAGGAATCAGCGAAGTGAGTAAAACTAAGCCGCAAACCCCTATACCTTGTCGTACTGCTCCTCCATAGGTATATCCGATACATCAGCATATCTTAGTCTAGGTAGCAGACGATTTAGACTTTATACTGCTACGTAACCATTTTTTTTCTGGCCATGGTTTGAACTATAGATCCACTAAGTCATTCACAGTGAAGTCACCCCGCTTGGTTATTTGACCCACGATTTTATTCTTGTCGTAAATAAGTGTTTTATGTGTTTTTCGATAGATTAATAAATAGCTGAATAGATAATCCAACAATAAAAATTACTTTGTATTCTATGATTTGATTAAAATTAGCGTTATCATACTTAGCATATCTAGAACAAATATACTAAATTCATTCTTAACCGTTTTGGATAAAAATATATTACAACGATATATATAATTAAACCTAGAGCTAAGATAAATAATATTATAAGAATTTATATTAAACTCAACATTCTTTAGAGTTGAACCGCTTAAACCGCTTAAATTATCATTGCTCCGGGCTTTCACCATCCTCTTTGATGCCTTCTTCAGGCTTCCGAGATCTCTACTACACTGATCATTAACCAATGTATTATTGCTACTGGGAACAACGGTCGGTTCGTTTATGCCGTCGATGGTAACGTGGTTTTGGTGGAGGTTGGCGTCGCGATTAGCATGGGGATTGGCGCGAAGATTGGCGTGGGGGTTGACGCGAACATTTCTGAACCAAATATTTCGAATGTATTGCTAGCAATCTATCGTTGTATGAATATACGATAATAAGCGTGTACGGTAGTGGCAGTACAGGCGCGCGACGCATCAATGTCCAATATTTATTTAATGGGATGTATCTTTCATTCCCTCTTTCTTCCATCTATTTCCTACGAAGTACGGGGATTGTTCAAATACGTTTGAAACATTGACGCGTGTTATTTAGACTTTGACTTGATTACCGGTAAATCCAATATTAACCTGCCCTTATAAATCGAGTAGGAGAGAAATATTTCAACTGACTTTATAAATACTATACTCAAAACGATTCCGGAAATTTGTTTATTTGTTATAAATTATTTGTTAATAATTTGTTTTTTTAATCCCTAATATATGATCCAGACAATTTGTTTTTATTACGAAAAACTAATGGAATATATGGCAAATCGTCCTTCTTCTTCTTCTTCTTAAAGTGCCCTCTCCTCAATGGAGGTTGGCTATTACAATTTTAAACTCTTCTCTATCTTCAGCTGTTCTTATTAGCTGTTCAAAATTTAGCCCTGTCCATTGTCGGATGTTTCTGAGCCATGATAGTCTTTTCCTTCCTAGGCCTCTCTTTCCCTCGATTTTTCCTTTCACCATAAGTTGGGCATATTGGTACTTATTATTTCTCAGTATGTGGCCTAGGTATGATGTTTTTCTTACTTTTACTGTGTTAAAAAGTTCTCTTTCCTTGCCTATTCTATGCAGCACTTCTCATACCTCAAACACTCGTTTGAGGTATGTGATGTCCATGAAATTTTGAGTATTCTCCGGTAGATCCACATTTCAAAGGCCTCCAATTTATTTACGGTTGATGTTTTAAGGGTCCACGTTTCAACTGCATATAGAAGAGTCGACCAGACGTAGCATTTTGATAAACGTAGTCGAATTTCGAGTTTTATTCGAGAATCACAAAGCAGTTTTTTTATTTTTTCGAAAGATTTTCTAGCCTGTTCTATTCTCGATCTTATTTCTTGATCAGGATTTAGGCTGCTATCAATCCAACATCCTAGGTACTTAAATCTATTGACCTGTTCTAAGAAGTGTCCATTTATTGTGCAAGGTTGAGGTACGTTTTGGTTTTTTCGGATTGACATCACTTTGGTTTTTTTAATGTTTATTTTCATACCAAATTGCTCACAGGTCGAGTTGGTCTTGTCGATGAGTCGTTGTAGACCTGAGTCGGAATCCGCAATTAACACTGTATCATCGGCGTATCTGATACTGTTGATATTTATGCCATTCACCTTGACTCCATCCTTGGAATCCTCCAATGCTTCTTTAAATAGAAACTCGGAGTAAAGATTAAACAGCAGAGGCGACAGAACACATCCCTGTCTAACTCCTCTCCTAATTTCTACTTCTGCGGATGTGGAACCTTCGATCCTAACTCTGGCTTTTTGGTTCCAGTACAAGTTTTTTAAGAATTTAATGTCTTTTCCATCTAAACCGACTTCTTGCAAACGTTCTAATAGTAGGTCGTGTCTTACTCTATCAAATGCTTTTTCGAAGTCTATAAAGCATATAAATATATCTTTCTGTTGGTCGTAGCATTTTTGGGCGAGAACTAGTAAACTGAACAGGGCTTCTCTCGTTCCCATACCGGCTCTGAATCCAAACTGATCGTCTCCGATGATTGTTTCGCACTTTCTATAGATACAATTATGTACGATTTTTAGTAGGATTTTTACTGCATGACTCATAAGGCTTATCAGACGGAACTCATTGCAGTGTTGTGGGTTTGGCTTTTTTGGTAGTGGGATGAATATTGACTCCAGCCAATCTTGGGGTATTTTACCTGTATCATAAATGCGATTGAATAAAAGGACAAATAATTCGATATTTTCTTCGCTGATTAATTTGAGCGTTTCTGGGTATATTCCGTCTGGACCTGGGCTTTTATTTGTTTTGAGATGATTAATTGCATTTATGATTTCAGATTCTAGAATTGTTGGCCCTTCGTTGTTATTTTCCAATCTTGGTTCTTCTCGTATGTCGTGAAAAAGAATTTTAATATAGTTTTCCCATTCTTTCAGTTTATCTTCCGTTGATTCTAGCAGTTTGTCATCCGTGTTCAGCATGGTGTGAAAAGTCGTTCTCTTGGTAGTCGATGTAAACTCTTTTACCTTTTTATGTAAATTAAAAAAATCGTGCCTTTGTTGCAGTTCTTCTATTTCAACGCATTTTGTTTCCAGCCATTTCTCTTTTGCTTCGGTTATTTTTTTTCGAATTATTCTATTTAGTCTTTTGTATTCTCCGTCCTTGTCTTTTTTTCCTTTAGATTCTCTTCGTTTGTTCATTAATTGTAAAATCTCTTCTGTCATCCATTCCTGTTTGTTATTTCTAGGTGTTACTTTTAGATGTTTTTCCGTTACATTGTTCATTTGTTCTTTAATAGTTTTCCACAGAACGTTTATGTCATCGTACTCGCTAATTCTATTGTGGTCGATATTTCCTAAATTTTTGTTTAATTCTTTATTTACTGTCTGATGTATGGTGTCATTTTTCAATATATTTCAAATCGTCCTAGTTTAACATAATATTTTGTCTTACTTCGCAATAAAAAAACTTACGAAAACTATCAAAACAAAGCAATCGAACACAAATTTAAAAGCCGGTACTATACCAACAATGATTAAGTTAAAGGATGGTGTTCTGCAATAATAGTCTAAGCCACATATACATGGTTCAGAGTAAATGAGCATATTGTGTCTACCTACTATAAGAAATTTACTGATAGAAAACAAGGCTTTATTTTCACATTTTTATATTTCAATAATTACAGGCTATCTAAAAAACAGTACAAAAGCAAAATAAGTAAAACCAGTTTGTTGCAAAAATAACTTAAAGCGGTTTAAACGGTTTTTGCAAAATTGTAAAAATATAAATGGTCATTTTGCAATAACCGTCTATTCCTCCGAAATGGTAAATACACAAAAAAACTTTGAATTCGAGTTCATCAGTAAAAGTAAGCATTTGCGACTGATTAAATTCCTACTCCATTTAATCTTGATCAATCTCGAAATCAGGATTTAACCCAATTCCTTCCAAATCATACCTATAATATTCCTATCATATTCCTACAATATTTTGCTGACCAGAATTTTGACTATCAAACAACAGTTCCAATATTTTATATAATGAACAACTGGTTTCGTTATTTGATCAATGCAATTTTTTATCGGCATTTATGGCACCAACATTCGAGTAATCGAAAAACTTATTATGTTACCTTTTCGGTACACTATCTGCGATAAAAGGAATTTAAAAATTTCTTTAATCAATTGCCGAGCTGACAACACAGAAAATTCACAGTTTTAAATAATATACTTTCGTAATTTACCATTAAAGATAAAGCCTCTAGTTTGGTGCAATTTTATTTATTTAAATAAAATTGTGATATTAGCGTGATAACAAATTTCTTGTCTTTTAATAAGTCAAAATAAAGATTTGTTCAATTTAATGTTTTGCATCTGGTGCACACAATGAAAAGACCCTTACAAAGATTTGCAACAAGCGTCTAACCCACATATTTATAATGAAAACATGGGTTAGACTATTTTTACAAATTTCTGTTTTCATATTATTTGACGAATGTGGTTTAGAACTTAGTTTACAAACGCCTCCATTAGTATTAATATGGCTTATATCATTTTTGCTTGATGTAGTATGCATTATGATCAACAGTTTGACACGTCTAACATCGTTTGTAAACAAATGTGGGTTAGACGGTTGTTGCAAAACACCGTATACTGATTGCAAAAATTATTAGCATGTTTCAAATAACATTTTTGCTAATTGACCATTTACCGGATATGATATTTCCACTACTATGTTAAACAGTACCACCTCATTTAATTTTCAACCATCAACAAAATACAAATACATCAATATGATTTCGATTATAATACGATCTTCGCCGCCGATCTTCTTTTCCAATGATATTTGTGGATTTAAGAAATTGATTTAGGTAAAAGCTTTAAGCAAGAAGTCACGTACCTCTATTCCAATAATAATAAGGTAAGACTAGGGTAATTACGAAATTCACAGATCGACAAAGGCAGAAACAGAGACATCATGATGGAATTAATTTCTAATATCACACTCTTCAAAAACTTGTCATAGTTTAGTTTTATAATTTATTATAAGTAGTATTAGGTATGGTAACAATATAATTATAATAAGTTTAGATTAAAAAGTTATAAAACAGTGACTTACCTGAATCTTTGAGAGACGTTTTTTCAATTACTAAAGTATGCTTCTCTCCAGATTCTAAGACTTTGATATGCTCGCTTTCTTTAATGACTTTGCCATCTTTGTAGAATTTAATTGTTGGTTTGGGAATTCCCTCGATCTCTATATCTATCTTCAGCTGTTGATCAGCGTGTACGGACATATCTTCCAGTTTGGTCTTAATCTTTGGTGGTGCTGAAATTGAGGCACGTATTTTTTAATATTTTATTGTAAACAAAAATTAAGAACATCGATACAAACGACATTAATGAAAAATATGTGAAATATCTTTTTTTGGAAAATTTAAATTATTAAAAACTAAAGTCTGCAAAATTTTTGAAGTTATACTTCTATACGCGCGCTCGACGTTGGAAATTTGTACGGGAGTGAATCTGTGAAACCATTACATATGTAAGATAATAAGTAAGAGAGAGACAGAAGATATATTTTCTCTCTCTCTTCCTCTCTCGAGAATAAAAATGTTCCTTTTGTATATATATATATATATATATATATATATATATATATATAATATATATATATATATATATATATATATATATATATATATATATATATATATATATATACCTATATATATATATTATAATATATATTAATATTATTATTTATGTGATATGTTTTGTACTATTTATTAAATGTTCATAATTATTTTAGGATCTTTTATTTCAAAATAATCACTGTATGACCGACAACTGTCAATTTTGAAATCCGTTAGTGTCATGTCTAATTGGCAAATTTTTTACGTGTTTGGTTCATACGCTGGTGTACGTGAGTCCGAATCCCAATATGAATATCCTTTTTTATTTTTGAAATATTTAAAAACCTCACGTTAATGTTTTTAAATATATGTAATATATGCAAAAATGATAAATTTTAAAATAAAATGAAAATTTACAACGTAATCCGAGTTGTTGTTTTTTTATTTTTATCTTCGTAAAGTAAGTTATGTACATTGGCAGTTTTAAATACTTGTGAATATTGCATTTTAATTTGTATTGTATTATTATATTGAAATATGTTGCAGTATATTGTATTGTAGTTTTTATATTAATACCAAAACAAACAATGAATTTTACTCCAAAGTATGTGTAAAAAAATGTTTTTGCATTCAGCTCCTGTTATACATAAATAAAAATATATATTTTTATTAAAATATTGATATATAGATATATATATATATATATATATATATATATATATATATATATATATATATATATATATATATATATATATATATATATATCCGGTTTTCTTAGGCGTTACGCCCGTCCGGTAGGGATCTATGGAGGAGTATCACCGAGCCGCAAGCCCTTATCTCTTGCCGTACTGCTCCACCATAGGCCGATCAGACCCCAGCATATTCTAGTCTAATCCGCAGATTCATCTAGAATTTTAAACTGCTGCGTTAGACTTTTTGTTTTCTGTACACCGAGCTGGGGCTCGATTCCACATCCACTGAACCATTCGACAGTAAAGCGAATGAGAGGCAGCCGCACAGCCCGCTGAGCTATCTGACCGACTTAAAATATTGATACATTCCTTTATTTACTATACTCCTATTATAGGTCAAATGTTTATATACAGCAAACGATGCACCATATACATAAATACCTAATTCTTTTTCTCTTTCTGCTCTCTCTTACCTATAGCATTAAATATGCAATGATTGTGCAGATTGACTCCTATATAAATTTGTAACGGCGAACGCGTGTGTAGAAAAATAACTTCTACCGGCAGTCCCACTGGAGTGCCATACCCGTTTTTTTAAAATTGGTCCTTTGAGTGCTTTCCATAGAAATATACTTTCTTATCTTTCAAAAACAGGTTTTAATAATTTGAAATCCTCAAGAAATATTTTATTTCTAAAGCGAAACTATATAAACTATATTTTAAAAATGGTATTTTAAGAAATTATGGTAAATAGTAAGTAAGATCTTAGATACTATAACAAATTATTGTCAATGTGACTAATGTCCAGGTGTCTTTGGTAATAATGGCTTTGGTATACCATATTTAATTAATGGCGCCCAATTTTACTGGAGCTACAGCTAATTAAAGATCTTAGACATAGATATAACCATTTTTCCGTACTTTTCAACATATGCTTAAAAAATAATTTTGGTTGAGAGATGCCAGTTTCTGGATAATCCAATAAAAACCTAACTAACAAGTTTTGCCAATGACCGGGCAAAATATCAATAATGGTGTTTTAATTTTTGTTTGTTTTGTTTTCAACCTAAAAGAATAAGACATTCTCTTTAACTAAAATATTATAATTTTCAAAACGGCTTCTGACATGGAAGCCTCAATTCAAATAAAGAGTTAGTATATTGATAGTAGACAAATTTCCATGAAAATATTTTCCACCATCGTTAAAGCAAAAGAGAAAAGAGAATAAGTATTAATAACAGAAGACTGAAATTCACGAGTAGGTGTAGATCGGAGAACACAGTAGACATGGATAATGAGAATAATAGTGACTTCTGAATAATAATGACTTGTTAATAGATTAAAATTTTTGGAAACAAGCTTTAGAAGAAACATAACTTTGTTGTAGAAGAAAGAAATGTTAATAGTTTAATATCAGAGAACTTGGTCTCTCTTCAGTATTGACTCCTAAAGGGAGTGCAGTGGTCGTCGTGATATCGTGTATGATCTGTCTCCATTTACTTCTGCCTCTGGTCATTTCTATTACATCCTGCATAGGTCTTTTGCAACTTCCTGGTCTAGTCTTTCTTAACCTTCCGCTACCGGAGGGGGGTACAGATTGTATCCCAAATTCGATTTTTCATGAATAATTTTTAAAAATGTCGGAATTTTGTTTAACTGTTTTAGTTACTTTTTCATTGTGATGTGTAAAAGCATATCGAATCTTTTGTTTTCAATTTGACATATTTTAACCTATGAAAAGTGCAGCACTGTGCTTGGAGTACAAGCTGTACTCCCCTCCGTCAACCGCGATACAATTCATTGCGGTCGACTCCACTGATTAAACCAGACGTTTTGCGCACGGCACCAAACCTGTTGTTTGCAATAACACACAAATCAGTTCTGTGGATGACTTAGTGCTAGCTAACATACCGTTTTAGTTTATCCACTTGTGATTACACGATTTACCGATATGTCGAAAAAATAAAGTTATACCTTCGAAAAGAATAGGATCGTGAAACTGCAGTGCAGTGGTTAGAGGAAAGTGATGATGATTACCTTTCTGAAAGAGATAATTTATCGAATGATTCAGAATTGGATGATAATTTAGAAGTAACGGAATATGAGCCTGAAATTCTGCAGGTAATTTTTATTTTTGTTTTATGTACGATATTTCTATCTTGAGTTTATTATATTTTAGCCATCTGAGAGCGACAGTAATGATTCTGATAAACCAGTTTTGGGGGCAGTAGATTCCACATTTATTTCCAAGAATGGTACAGTTTAGAAAAATCGTCCTTTATGACAAACTAGATGTCGCACAAAAAACTTGCTCGAAAAACCAGGGCTTACAGAAAAATCTAAAAATGTCGCTAAAATTAGTGATTACTTCAAATTATTTGTAGATGAGAAAATTGTAGAGATCATCGTCAAATGTACAAACCAGAAAGCGGAGAAATACTTTCAGGATTGAAACGGGAAAAATCCTAATAAAACAAGAACCTGGTTGCCCACTGATTCAGTGGAAATTTATGCGGTCTTGGGACTCTTGATTATGGCGGGTGCGCTAAAAGCCAATAGGGAACCAGTGCACTTTTGGTGGTGTCGAAACCCTTTGTACAGTCGATCTATTTTTCCGGCTGCCATGTCACGCGACCGATTTCTAGATTTAATTTCACTTATGCGATTCGATGATTTGAACACTAGAGAAGAATGTAGAAGTTCTGACAAACTAGCAGCTTTTAGGGAAGTGTTTACAAAGTTTGTAGAACACTGTAAAGAAAGTTTTAAGTGTCACTCTCATCTAACTGTTAAAACTTGTAAGTTTTAGAGGTAAGTGTCCATTTAGAGTCTACATGAAATCAAAATCAGCCAAGTATGGCATCAAAGCAGAGTTTGTACCATATTCCGACCGCACAGCCTTAGTAAAACTTGAAGCGAAGCCAAATAATCTCAACATCATACAGGCTTATGCACCAACTACAGACGCATCAGATGAAGTAGTGGAAAACTTTTATAGTGAAATCAAAGAACTACTTAAATTGACAAAGAAACATGATGTCAACATAATTATGGGAGATTTTAATTCCAAAATAGGAAAGGGCAGCTTTGAAGACATAGTTGGACCCTATGGTCTTGGAACAAGGAACGAAAGGGGCGACCGACTTATACAATTTTGTCAAGAAGAAAACATGAGAGTTACCAACACATGGTTCCAACTCCACCCCCGTCGCCTATATACTTGGAAATCTCCAGCCGATAGAGCTCATAACATAATAAGAAACCAGATAGACTTCATTCTTATAAACGGTAGATTCAGCACAACTGTCAAAAGAGCTTGCACATACCCTGGAGCAGATGTCCCTTCTGACCACGTACTATTAGTGGCCGTCATAAAGATCGCTCTTTCATGCAAGAACAAGCCTGAAACTCAACAACAGATAGCACTGGATAAACTGAAAGACCCAGTGATACAAGCAAAAATAAGCAATGAAATAAACGCACAAATTCAAATATTAACGACAAACATTACCGAAGATATAACACCAACATGGAATACGATTACAAGTGCTGTAACAGACATCATGAACAACAACTTAGGGTACAAACGAAATAATAAGAAGCAAAAATGGATGACAGAAGAAATACTATTACTAATGGAAGAACGACGAAGACACAAGAATAACCAAGATGGCAGCAATATGTATGAAAACATTAACAGGCAAATAAAAGCAGAATAAGAATAGCAAAAAATGAATGGCTTAAGCAACAATGTATCGATCTAGAACATTTACAAAGACAACACGACGACCGTAATTTACATAAAAAGCTTAAGGAGACTGCTGGAATATACAGAAAACGAAGACCAACTACCATAGTTAATCAGGATAACCAGATAGTGCTGGGTGAAAAGGAGAAAATTGATATATGGGAAAATTATATCCAGGAGCTCTTCCATGACGAAAGACCCATGAGTGAAGTTTATACAGACGACCAGCTGACTGGCCCTTCAATCACCAAAGAGGAGATAGAAAAAGCAATATTAAATTCAAAAAAACAATAAGGCACCTGGACCAGATAAGATCCCGTCAGAAATACTCAAATTACTAGATGAAAGGGGAATTTCAGCACTACACAAAATATTTAATTTAATTTATGAAACTGGCTGCTATCCTCAACAGTGGTTACGCTCTACCTTTATTCCCCTGCCCAAGAAAGTCAATGCAAAAAGATGTGAGGATCACAGACTCATTAGCCTGATGAGTCACACTTTAAAGATATTCTTAAAAATACTACATCAAAGATTATACAAAAAATGTGAATGGGACATCAGTGATTCCCAGTTCGGGTTTAGGCAAGGTTTAGGAACACGAGAAGCAATAGTAGCAACACAGGTACTGGTCCAAAATTGTTACGATCAGAGGAAGGATGTGTTCCTATGCTTTTTAGATTACAAAAAAGCGTTTGATCGTGTCCAATACCACAAGTTAATGCAGATTCTCAAGAAAGTTGATATAGACCAAAAAGACATAAGATGCATTGAAAACTTGTACTGGCATCAAACGGCACAGCTAAAAATAGACAATTCTATATCTAAGCCCATACATATAAGAAGAGGCGTTCGACAGGGATGTGTGCTTTCCCCTCTTTTATTTAACATTTATTCAGAAGCCATATTTCAAGAGTCTTTGGAGGATGCAGAGATGGGAATCAAGGTGAATGGAGTATTGATCAACAACATAAGATATGCTGATGATGGTGTCTTAATTTGTGACAACATAGTCGATCTTCAACAACTTGTCACTATAATCGGAGAATACAGTGAGCGAATGGGACTAGAGATTAATACCAAAAAGACCAAATTCATGATCATCTCCAGAAACTTGGATGCATTTGAAAACTCCACCATAACACTGAATAGTAAATCCATAGAAAGAGTGAGTAAATTTAAATACCTGGGATCGTGGCTTTTTGAAGACTGGGCATCGGACAGGGAAGTAAAATGTCGCATTGAGCAAGCTCGACAAGCTTTCGTAAAATTCAAGAAGGTACTGACTTGTTCTGAGTTCGATCTTCAACTGAGACTAAGGTTTACTAAGTGCTACGTATGGTCAGTGCTGCTATATGGCGTAGAGGGCTGGACACTCAAAACGAGGGATATAAACAGATTGGAAGCTTTCGAAATGTGGCTTTATCGCCGTATCCTAAAAATACCATGGACAGCGAAAATCACAAATATAGATGTCCTTAAAAGAATAAACCAAGAACGCCAACTTTTCGAAACCATCAAGAAAAGGAAAACGGCGTATCTAGGTCACATCATGCGAAATGAAAAATACCAGTTCCTCCAACTTATAATCGAGGGTAAAATTGAAGGCAAGAGAGGAATGGGACGCAAGAAAATGTCCTGGCTCCGAAACATAAGGCAATAGACAGGGATTAACGACATACAATCTCTGATACATATTGCAAGAAATAGAGAGTTAATGGAAAATGTGATCGCTAACATCCATTAGTGGATTTGCATCTGAAGAAGAAGAAGAATGGCATCAAAATATGGGCTCTAGTTGATGCAACAATCACCTATGCTGCTAACTTTCAGATTTATACTGGAAAAGATGAACAAACCAGAAAAAGACCAGGGCAAAAGAGTAGTACTTGATTTGGTCTCATTTCTAAAAACTGGTTATGGCATCACTACTGATAATTTATTTACCAGTGTTCCCATAGCAAAACAACTCCTAGATCGACAAATAACATTATGTGGAACACTTCGAAAAAACAAGCAGGATATCCCTCCAGCCCTACTACCCAATATTTCTAGACAAGAAAAGTCCTCAGTTTTTGCCTTCACTGAGGAAATAACACTGGCGTCTTACGTTCCTAAAAAGAATAAGGCAGTAATTTTATTGAGTACAGAACATTACAACGATAAAATTAGCGAAGTAGAGACGGCAACGCAGAACGACGGCTTTTGCAGAACCTGCAAAAGCTGTTTTATGTGAGAGTTTTAATATTCTTGAAAGGTTATTTTAAATAAATTAAAGAGTGCAGTATTTAATTTGAGTACCGTATGACTGGTGTATAAAGAATGGAAAAATAAAGTCAATGATCCGACACCTGCAACGAGTACAGGGATATGCTAAGAAGAAATGTTTAAGATGGCTCATGCAATTGCAGTATTATTAATTTTTATTTTTTTAATTAATTAATTTAATTAATTTTTTTTTAAACTTTCAATATAATTATTTCACAATATGTTTAAGACACCATTTACAATAATTTGTTTAAGTATGTTATAGAGTTTATAGAGTTTAGTAGTATGTGTGCAGGAAGATTTATAGTGAACATAGAGAGAAACACATCTAGTTGTATACCTATCGTAAGAGTGAGGGAGCACTCTTCTGAATCTTGTGTAGGTGTAGTAGTTGCTGGAAAAATCAAGTATGCTAGTGTTTATTTTAAAATATGTTAAATGTACATGTTTAATATTTATTTTAATTACTTTTGACTTGGGACAACATAATAATATGTAGTCTACGTAGCTTTGTGGTAGCTAGTAATGAACATCATAACTAGCTTGCAGTGTATGAAAATGTTATCTTTATTTTTTTTGCGTTTTTCTTATGTAGGCTGGCATTCTTTTGCTTTTATATCCTTTTTTATTTTTCTATTTTAAATATTAATGATACATATTCAAAAATTCGAGTTTTCTAAGCGTTCCATTTTGGTTCATCCGCTATAATCTACTGTAGATGTCTTTCGTTAAGAAAAAGTTATTTTTTTTTATTAAATGTGCCAGCCTCTTCAGTTTTTTACTGCTTTTCGTATGGTTTTTTTTGTTAAAAAGAGTCTTTTAATATCGTTTCTACTATTGTTTTTCATAAACATGTTGGTAGTTATTTTCATGTTTTGCTTGAACTGTTTAAAAACTATTGTTTAAAAAATTGATTTAATTTTTTAGTTAATTTGTTTATACCATTTTTTGTTTTTATTAAAAAAATAATAAAAAAATGATTTTGTATTTTTTTGGCTCATATTTGTGCAATGAGTTAACATTTTGTGAATCTAGCAGCTGTCAGACATTTTTAATTCCTTTTAAATTGGTCTTCATCTAACTGTACATCTTTTTTATTGATTATTTTAGTTGTTAATCATTTTCGTGTTTTTTTTGTTCAGCTGTTTTTAAGTCTCTTTCAATCTGGCATTTTAGCATAAGTACAATGCTTTACAATTGTGTTCTATGGTGTTTGTCTGATATTCTAGAAGTGTAACCAGAAAACTTGATTCTATAGTATTTTATGCCTGTTCGTTTGTCTTAAATCCCTTCAATATCATAAGTATTATTACAACCTTGCTAACAGCACATAATGTTGTACCTCTTTACATAATCCCTTATATTTAATCTCTTCTTTTTCTTATTGCGCTGTCTCCTTTCGAAGGTTGACAATCCAAATGATGGTGTCTTTAAAAATACTAAAATTTTAGTTTTGGAAACGTTTTTAGAAACTTTCCGTTTCTAATGATGCATCCTCGTCGTACTCCTCGTCGGATTCGTATAACTTCGGATGTTGTGTGACATAATCTCTGTCCCTTTTTAATTCTTATTTTACATTCGTAATTAAACAGATTTATGATTTTTATATATTTCTACTGTAATCTTTATTGTTTTGTGTCTTTTATAATACCTATCTCAGTTAATAAAACCTTTTTAACATGTATTGTGTTGTATGAATGTAATAATCTAGAGATAACTAAATATAAAATATATATCAATTGGTTATTTGTTAATAAGTAACTCACCTTTGACTGTTAGATTCATCTCAGCGGTGTCGATACCAAGTTCGTTTTCAGCAGTAAAGGTATATTTACCAGCATCAGATGATTCCACGTCTTTAATAACCAGGGAAACACTTTCTTCATCCTCATAAAGAATCCTACAAACGTATAATGTATCATCTACATTTTTTTGTCTATAACAAGGTTTAAAAATTTAAATGCATAGGAGATATTTCTATGGCAACATTTAACTTCATATTTATGTATCTCCTCCAAGAGTAGTGGCATTCTGTTAAGTCAACAAGACCGACTGGGAGCCAAAAACAGTTCGAGTCTGTGTATAATACTATCAAACGAAGTAGAATTTAAAGATTTTGCCGCTTTCGATACTTTATAATGAAGCTACATACATAAGGGCATTCCATAAAGTTTTAACAGTTTACATTCATAAATAAAAGATCATTATCCTTTGTGAAATGTCCTCGCCAATGGGTCAGTTAAATGACGAATATAAGTGACATAGTAATCTTATTTTTAAACAGGCCTACGACTCAATCTCACGAAACGGACTATATAAAGCAATGAAATCACTATAGACTAGGCGGCATCTGTAGAAATTCAGACCATAATGGAAATTTTCGAGGGAAGCTATTTTTTTGCTGGAATCCCTTTAGGATATGCCCAGTATCGATAATCACGATATGCGCCAGTCGCAAACCCTGTGCTAAATTTTTTATTTAACAAAATCTGAAAACAATTGAAAATTTCTCATTTTTTTGCTCCTATTTTCATTTATAATTCGAAAAATATTGATCTTAGAGAAAAAATTATAAGTGGTTAAAAGTTTCGTTATTAAATTTTACACAATATTTTGTTAGCTAGAAATTGAAAATTTAATGGTTATTGTTGAAAAAATAGCAATAATTGGAAAAAAAGTACAAAAAAATGAAGTTAATCCTTTAAATGTTTTCGACTTTCTAAACTTGACTTACAAGTTCCATATTCCGCCTAGAAAAACTTTTTAATAAGTTTAAAGTGTGTGCTAAATTTTGTTAAGATCGGTCGGATAGGTTTTGCATAATAATTTTGCAATCCAGCCTACTGGAAAAAAATCGCAAATTTTCAAATTCATAGTAGGCCCTAAATAAGGCCCTCAGATAGTGGCAATTTTTTTTACATATAAAGGAAGTCTCACACTTTCAAACGCTTTTTGTAAAATTCAAATCGGTTTACTAGGAAAGCCTATAATTTTTTTTAAAGTTATAAACATTTTTTAGGCTTATAAACAAATTAAATAACTTTACGAGCTTTAAACATATCAATTTCAAAATGTATACACTTAAAGAACATTAAAAGACGCTTCTTTTAAAAAACAAAAAGATACATTCGGCTTAACCATAAGTGATAGAGGGCTCGTTTTTAAACAAATAAACTCGTCTTGTCTAATACTTTTTATATGAAAAGTTTTACGTAATGCGCTATATGGCAATATCCATAAAAAAGCCAAATAAAAAACCGTTTTCGCGTAATATGTCGCTCGGAATGCATGAGGGGTGGTGATGAGGGACATTCACTTCAAATGTGAATCGGCGAGTATCAAGTATGTATTAGCCTCAGATAACAAGCCAGTTTTTATAATTGCAGAGGATATTGATGTTCTGGTAATATTTTTACAAAAAGTAACTGAAAATAAAAATATTTTTTTCTATAAACCTAGCAAAGGAAAAAAATCGGAAGAGATTTATGACTACAACTCTTTCAATAATGCACTTAAAATAAGTGAATCTACGAAATCTTCGTTAAAAAATTTAGTGGGCTTTTTACACGCATTTTCTGGTTGTGATACAACCTCTGCATTTTTTTATCAAGGAAAAAGCAAAATTGTTAAATTGGTTTCAACAAATAATGATATATGGCAAGAAGCAACCATTTTTAATGAAACAAGTGCCACTAAGGAAGAAATTAAACGCAGCGGATGCAAAATTATATCGGCATTGTATATAGGCCACTCAAAGTGCGATTTAACATTGAATAAAATTCGCTACTTGTGCTTTAAAAAAGGTTGCAAAAATAAAAATTTTCAATTGTCCATGCTGCCACCTACACAATCTGCAGCTGAGCAACACTCGTTTCGTGTATATTTCCAAGTACAGCAGTGGCTTGGAAATAACCTGAATGCTACTGAGTGGGGGTGGGAACTAACTCAAAATGGTCTTGAGCCAATACAAACTGAGCAAGTATTACTACCTGACTCATTATTCAGAAATATTAGTTGCAAATGTAAAAAACTTTGTACAAAAACATGCAGTTGTATCAAACATGGTCTCAAATGTTCTGACTATTGTCTTCACTGCAATGGTCAAACATGTAAAAATATTGATCACAATAAAATATTGGAAGAAGTTGAACGAGATATGGATATGGAGTCGATGGATTCCTTAGATTTTTTGGAGGCACAAGATATAGCTACAGATAAAGGAGAAGAAATATTATATTTACAGATCGAGGATGAAGATATTGAAATGGAAAATGAAGGTTTTGAGGAAGAAATAAAACCTGAAGATTCTTGTCCTTCCAAAAAAAGAAAAAGACTTAAAAAAAATTATTGAAGATTGAGTCAAAATAAAGATTATTTATGAAAAAAAAAATTTTGTTTCATTCGCCTTTGTTTTAACGATTTAAATTATTTATTAACAATTTATAAATACATATTTGTTTACTAAAAGTAACAATTTACTTCAATGTATAAATTGCAAGCTCAAAAAAAAACAATTTCGAGCATTACACAGCAGTATAATAACACGTCAATATACAATATACACGTCACTTTCGAATCAAAATATATTCTCAAATCAAATAATGTCATTATTATGATAAAACTGCAGAAATAAATTATTTTTAATGCTAATTATTTTAAAATGTTTGATTTTTACAAAAAAAAAATTTCCTTCGTTTTAAAAATTCAAATTATTTATTAACAATTTATAAATACATATTTGTTTACTAAAAGTAACAATTTACTTTACAAGCCCTTACAGATTTTGGAGCACTTTACTTTTGTTTATATTTCAAAACCCAAAATTAAACAAACTGATGGTCCCCTACTTGATACTCGCCGATTCACATTTGAAGTGAATGTCCCTTACCCACCACCTTTCATGCATTCCGAGCGACATTTTACGCGAAAACGGTTTTTTATTTGTCTTTTTTATGGATGTTGCCATGAAGCGCATTACGTAAAACTTTTCACATAAAAAGTATTTGGCAAGACGAGGGTATTTGTTTAAAAACGAGCCCTCTATCACTTATGGTTACACGGCAAATGTATACCAACTTTGACCTTCAATATCTCGGCAACCAGTAAGCCGAATGTATCTTTTTGTATTTTAAAAGAAGCGTCTTTTAATGTTCTTTAAGTGTATACATTTTGAAATTGATATGTTTAAAGCTCGTAAAGTTATTTAATTTGTTTATAAGCCTAAAAAATGTTTATAAATTTAAAAAAATTTATAGGCTTTCCTAGTAAACCGATTTGAAGTTTACAAAAAGCGTTTGAAAGTGTGAGACTTCCTTTATATGTAAAAAAAATTACCACTATCTGAGGGCCTTATTTAGGGCCTACTATCAATTTGAAAATTTGCGATTTTTTTCCAGTAGGCTGGACTGCAAAATTATTATGCAAAACCTATCCGACCGATCTTAACAAAATTTAGCACACGTTTTAAACATATTAAAAAGTTTTTCTTGGCGGAATATGGAACTTGTAAGTCAAGTTTAGAAAGTCGAAAACATTTAAAGGATTAACTTCATTTTTTTGTACTTTTTTTTCCAATTATTGCTATTTTTTCAACAATAACCATTAAATTTTCAATTTAAAGCTAACAAAATATTGTGTAAAATTTAATAACGAAACTTTTAACCACTTATAATTTTTTCTCTAAGATTAATATTTTTCGAATTATAAATGAAAATAGGAGCAAAAAAATGAGAAATTTTCAATTGTTTTCAGATTTTGTTAAATAAAAAATTTAGCACAGGGTTTGCGACTGGCGCATATCGTGATTATCGATACTGGGCATATCCTGAAGGGATTCCAGCAAAAAAATAGCTTCCCTCGAAAATTTCCAATCCAAAACAGATCCCGCCTAGACTACTAGGAATACGATGAGTTAAAATGACGCTAACTACTAAGGAAATCTTTCAAATCATTTTAGCGTCAATAGAGGATTAAAACAAGTAGACCACCTGTTAATAGACTTATTCAACTTATTACTAGAATAGATAATGAGAAAAGCCAAGATCCAGATAGGCACGATTCTGAACAAAAGACAACAGTGCATAGATTTCGCAGATGACTTGATAGTTCTGACACGTTGATAAGAATAGAACTTAGAAAAATGTTCATAAAATTTGGAAAAGAAGTTAGAAAATACAGCTTGACTATAACTCAAGAAAACAATAAGTATATAAAAATGGGAGGAGAAAATGCAGAAGAAAATAAATAGATCACTTTAAGGACGAAAATAAACATTTTTGTTCTTAAAGTACAAGTATTTATACAAGTATTCCATGTAATTAAAGAATAAGGCTCAGCATCATTTTAGCCCGCCATGCCCCTCCCCCTCCCCCTTCCACCAAAAACGCCAATTTTTTGTTTTTATTTTTTAGGGGGATAAAATAAATATAAAAATTTCAAAAAATTCACACGCATAGTTTAAGATTTTACAAAATCTGTTTATTTTTTATAGACCCCTGCTAAAATTGCGATGAGCCTTATTTTTTATCCACATAGAACGTAAAAAATTAAATTCTGAGAGTAAGGAATTCTGGGAGAATTAAAATTTTGCCCATCTTAACGAGAGGTACCCTTTGAGATGGTAACAGTAACATCATCTTGGATTTACGGTAGAAAATAGAGGAGGTAAAGAGAGAGAAATAGATAAGCAAAGGCACTGTTCTTGAAGACAAGAACGTGTTTAGGGTAGCCAATATTCGAACTTATAAAACAATAGGAGACCAACAGTGTTGTGTACATGTGAAACTTGGACAATAAATCAGAAAGAAGCAGCCAATTTAGAGATTTGGAAGAGGTGAAACCTGGGTCTAGAGAGAGCAACTAAAGGACCGGAAAAAATGGAAGAACCAGTAAAGACTATCGAAATCAAGGGCCTCTAAGGCTTGTAGTCCTATTATATATAAACATATCTAAGAGTAATCTTGTATTTGGTTGTGGCGGATTTATGGAACATTTTTATTAGAATAAACTCCAAATGACAGTAGCATTATACAACATTTCATATTATAATTTGTTACAATTACAATTGGTTCCAGTCTTTATATTTTGTACAAAATGTTGCATTGGTTCCAGTTTTTAGATTTTGTATTTGTTTAATATGTATTTTCTATTTTTTTTCGTCGATAAAGAACACTGCTCCACGTTCTGTCAGATCCCGGCTTTACAGAGGCTCGTCAGCAGGCACTCACGACAGGATAGCTACAAATATATATGTAGGATAGTATGTGAAGATCTATTACGCCAAACGACTTCTTTATCTATAATTTACAATCTGATAAAGTCCATCTTATTATACATATATTGTTTTATATAAAGTAGAGCTATAGTTAGGAAATAATATGTGTTAAGGATAAAAATAACAAAAACTAATAAAAAGTACGATAAAAAAAATGGTAGGATAGAAAGAGTGGGCTCTATGACATACTACTAATGTTTTAACTTCATGTAGATTATATTCCCTTACTTATGCTTTTTGCTGGCCTCGATTTGCTTCCCTTCATGCATGAATTTAATATTCGGTTTAGGATATCCCTTAATCTGCAATTCCAACATAGCTGATCCACCGACGTTTACAACGGGATCTTTCTTAATCACCACCAATTGAGGTTTCTCTGGTTCTCTGAACAGCTGGTTGACTGTTCCGTGAACGGTCAGTTCTGCACTGCAACTGATATGACCTCTGGAAGTTTGAGCCACGCACGTGTAGAGACCCACGTCATCTGGTCGGACTTTTTGGAACACCAGAGCTAGAGAGTCTTCATCATCGCCCATAAGAACCTTGAAACGTTCCTCGGGCTCGAAGGGTTGACCGTCTTTCTTCCAGTGGAATACTGGTTTTTCTCCCGCTGGGAGGATTTCACCTTCTGGCATTTCTTCGAAAATCTTTTTGTTATCTAAAACAATAATAATGATATATACATATTATATACAATGCCGAGCACAAAATTAGGGTTAGACTGCAATTTTAATTTATTTTAGAAATTATTATTCTTTTTTATCCATTTTCAGTTATAACATAGTTTACTAACGGATTGCAAAAAGAAAACAACGTTTTTACACTTCAAAGTTTATTGAAAGTAATAAAATTAAACCATTTTCGTTGATATACTAAATCTTGAGTATGGACAATTTTAATGTGATATGATTTTTGTTGAAATAAACGAAATTTTAGGAACTTTAGTAGTGGGTATTGCCTCCTCCATTCCTGCACCAATATGTCGCGAAGCCCTTTTGAATTTCTGTGGACCAGTACATGACTTCGTAAACGTCTCTTCATCGTATTCCAAATATGATCTATAGAACTGATATCTAGAATGCCACTAGAGCAAACAAACATTGTGATTTAAACCTCGTTACGATACTCAGTAACTATTCGAGTAGTTTGGAGCCGTGCATTATCATGCATAAATGTTGGGTCATCTCCAAGAATAACTAACTAACGCCGCCACAACAGAACTCAAAGATGGACTGATGATGCTCATTAAACAGTGGGCGAAAGTCTTCATTAGTAGCACTCAAGTAGCACAACTCTCGTCTTTTTTATCTCCAAATTGACCGAAAACATCCCATTCACTTACGAGTGCACTTTATATATATATATATATATATATATATATATATATATATATATATATATATAATATATATATATATATATATATATATATATATATAATATATATATATATATATATATATATATATATATATATTTATATATATATAAATATATAATAATATAATAATATTTATATATAATAATATATAAATATATAATAATAAAACATGCCATCAATCAAGTTTTACTATTTTTACAACAAATTTTAAAAATTTTATGATGTATTATGTCCATAATTGTATATTTAATGTGTGGTATAAATGTTGAGTGTCAATGCTTACAAAAATAATCTCAACGACTAGTAAGTTACACTGAAGAATTGTGATATTTTTTAAATATTTACATAATTGTCCTTTACAGTGTCTTGAAAAAGGAATAAAACCATTCCGAAAGCTCGACAAAAAGTCAAAAGAGTGTTTTTTTAACATCCCGGCTAATATTCTGACTGCAACCCTAATAAACTGTGTTGTTTGTTTATATCGACAGTCACTAATATCCAGTATTTCTTATATATATATATATATATATATATATATATATATATATATATATATATATATATATGTATATACATATTTAATGACATATTTAGACTGAAAAAAACTGAGTATTAGATATTATGGCAACCATGATCCACAATCCTGGAACTTCAGGTTAGAGGTTGGGCAAGAGGCCAACAACTTATTTCTGTATAAACATTATACGTTACGAAACCTCAGGAATTAGCCGGACTGAACTTACGACGACGACTCTGCAAACGAAAAATGGAACTGAGATTGGGAACCGGCAATACTCTAATTTTTGTACCGAGCTAAATCACTTTATCACCGAGCAACTTTATTAGACATAATGGACAAATACACATTAGATGAATTAGCTGTACAGGAAATACAATGAATGATAACTGATATCCTAAAAAAATAAAACATGTGTATTATAATTGAAATCAACACATAGATGGAGTAGGGTTTAATATAAACCAGAGTTCAATAACAAACTTCTTGTTATTGATTTTAAAGCCTAAAGTCAATGAATATACTACTTAAGCTTAAAAGCAAAAGTATTTAATTACAGGTTAATTGAGGCGCATATAAGATTGATGACAAATCAGAACACTAAAAAGACCAGTTCGAAGACCTAGAAAAGGTATACAGAAGCTGTTCCAGAGATCATATTAAAATAGTGCTAAGTGACATGAATGCGCGAATAAGACGAGAGCCGCGTTCGTCCCCACTGCAGCAAACTTAGCAGCAGCACTAAACATGATAGTTGACACCTATTTTGAACACCAAATCAGAATTCGAAGATACATTCTAACAGATAAGGAAGGCAACGTCAAACCAATGTAGAAACCTGGACCAATGTAAACCCCTTAGGACTAGGAAATTATGCTACTGATCCTAACACCAGATTCATATTCGTCTCAAATACTTCTTTAATATTCCAGACAGAATAAACTTTTTTACTAAATAGTGACTCAACAAAGGTCTAATTTGGTCAAAATATTTATTAACTCTGACAGACCAGCTGCACTGAAGACTCTAAACGCTACAAATTAAAAGTTCCAAACAACTTGGAACTGGTGAAGCACAAAAAAGTAGATTTGCTATGGGTGGCAGGCTATACCGAAATTACATAAAGAAATACTGGCTGTGACTTCTGACAGTTTAGCTAAAGAAGGAGCCAAAATCATCTTAGTGTAGCCTATTGGAAAAATATTCCAACCCAAAGGCAAGAAAAAAATTTATTACAACCTTCTGATCGTTATGTAAAAATACTCAGATCTTTAAAAAATGATCCCAAAGTAATCACACGTACTCCGCCTGAACACTTTTCCTTCAGATATCATGTTTATCAAATAAACAAAGTAAAGAAAGCAGCTTTTAGATTCTGAAAAGATGTAGCGGAAATAATCAAACATATTGTCTGTAACTCAATTATTAGTTAATGTCATAAATCAATGAATATGTATTTTTAGAAGCTGGCCAGATAAAAAATGAATTTTTTAAACGAATTTATTTGAACTCAAAAAATATTTAGGATTCCTAGAAGCCTAACTGTTTTGGACTGATCAAACGACTCCATTAAAATTTGAGAATCTATAACAAAAAATTATGAAGAGTATATGGGACTATATAAAACAATAGAGAATACAGAATAAGAATAAACCATTAAATAAATAAAATGCAGAATAAACCACCACTAAAAAGGAAATACAAAGAGAACAACTAGGCCGTATAGGGCATATATAAAAGAACAGTAAACAAGGGAAATGCAAAAAAGTATTTTAACAGGAACTACAGAAAAAAAGCGACCAAAAAGACGATGATTTACTAATTTAATGTAATGTTTAAAAGAGTTAGGAATAAGAATTGGAAAGGCAAACACAGCATAGATAAAAATGGGCGACAATAGTGAGAAAGTATATCTAGCATCAAGACCCAAATTACTCCTTACCTTGAGCAACACAAACCTTAAGCGATTCAAAGGTATATATGCAGAGCTAGTGAATACATCGTATAAAAAATAGGTTATATAAAGATCAACTAGGACTCCTTTACTAGAACATACTTTCATAGAACATTGTCACAGTAATGAAGAGTCCTAGTTCTCAAGTAAACTCTCTCCACTTCAGCAAAACGTTCAGACTTTTATATATAAATAACAAAGCAAGCTATCAAAAAACTTAAAAATTATTTGAGAATACAACAAGAATCTTGTCAGAAGATAACAAATATCTTACCTGTGACTGTTAAGGTAGCTTCAGAAGAAGCTTCTCCATGTTTATTGGTAGCGACACACTTGTAAACACCAGCATCTTCTTTTTTTACAACTGGAATCACTAATTCGTAAAATCCTTTATGGGCCTGTTCCTTAATAATTTGGTATCTCTCTGAGTTTTCTGGGATTTTCTTCCCTTGCTTGAAACTGAAATAGTACCCAATATAAGTTTAACATAGAAAAATTTGTATTAACTATATATTTTTAAGAGTTAACCACAGGATCATTTAGAAAATAAATTCTTTGTTTGACAGTTCGCGTGAATAAAGGATTTATTTTATAATTTGTAATTTATTGCCAACTAGATATTTGACTAAAGCTAATATATAACTAAGAAACAGTTTTAGAACTTACAAGGCAATGTCTGGATGAGGTTCTCCTGCAACTTTTACCATAAAGCGAAGATATGTTTCCTCTAATAGCTCTGCGTCTTTCATCGACACCAAAAATTCTGGTTTATCAGTGCTAGACTTAGCAGCCCTTTCTTCTGTCGTCACTAAAACATTTATTAAAAGATAATTATCAAATGTTAACCCATTATGAACCTTAATAAACCTTAAAATTGGTATAGTAGGATTAATTAGGACAGTAAGAATATAAAATTAAGAGAAAAAAAAAACATAAAAACAGTTATTCACTGTAAAAATATAGTACAAGTTTAAAAAAATATGTATTTTTTGTTAAAAGTCGATTACAAAATTCCATAGCAAAATGTACAAATTATCAAAGGAGGAAACTGTTAGCTTTCGTAGGTTCTTAACTCACGAGAATACACGAACACACAAGGTAGAAAGAGATGATACAGTATTAGAATTTTACATTTAAAAAGCTGATAAAAATGTTTCTCACATAGTTTTCAGATTTATATCATTGCTAAAAAGAAAAACGTATTTAATCTCTACATTTTGTCTTGACAATAATAAATGGCTGAAAAATATCTGATACAAATTAAAAACAAAGACAACACAGATATGCAAAAAAATTTGATAAGCTCTTTTAATATTTTTAACTGATTTATATGGTTTGTGAGGCGCTGTTGAAGTCATCTTGATTATTTCAAATACTTATTTTTAAATTCAAATAGGTTTTTAAATTTACTTAAAACTGTTTTATTACTGTGAGACCCCTTTTGGTACATTTTCGCTTATAAATACCATCTGGAATGTTCCTCTGTAGCATTCATTAATCTTCATCATCATCAACAGCTACTCCATCCATCGTCGGTTGTAAGCCTCCCTTAGGTGGACACCTCCAGAAATGAATGGACACATTCATTTCTTTTTGTTGATTTTTGCATCCTTTAGTGACCAGCCATTCGCTTGATGTCATTCGCCTGATGGGTTAAGGTCTGCCTCTACTTCTCTTGTTTGTTGTTGATCGCCATTCAATAATTCGCTTCGCCCAAAGGTTGTCTTCCATTCTTTCTATACTGTTCTGCTGCCCAGTTTCATTTTAATATGACAATCTTTTGGATTACATCTGTAACTTTTGTTCGTCTTCTTATTTCTTCATTGGACTTTCAATCGCTGAGAATGCTTAACATTAGGTTCTCCGTTTCATAGATCTTTCAAAGATTTTCCAATTAGTTCTTATTACTTGTATATGATCTATGGTGATATAACCTTTTCTAAATTCTACCTACTCCCTTGGGTGATAACTCTTCAGTTTTTTAGGAAGCTACTATTCTGCTTGTTTATTAGTTAGTCTACCATTATTGTTGTTGCTAATTTTCCTTAATCTTGATAAAAATGGTCTCCTTGTTTTTCACTTACAGCTCCATAATTTTCAGGAAAATAGTCCATGTAGAAGTGGAGAAAATGTATCTTTAGACCCAACTCAACATTAATTTTTTTTGCCAAAAAATTTCACCATAACGTACTTAAATGCGAACCATTTTTCTCTCTAGAAATCTGTCATAGCGTTGGCAAAATCTTGATACGCTAGAAGTATTTTGATGTATAGCTCCACAAATATCTCCTTTTCATGGCGACGTCTCCTTTGGAAGGTTGGCGATCCAAATAGCAATTATAGTTTTGGAAACTGCTGCGCGAAATTCTGCGGATGAGCGGTCGAACCATCTCCTCAGGTCTTTCAGCAACGAGTTCTGACGTCTTCCTACTGATCTTTTGCCCTGTACTTTTTCTTCTAGTATAAGTTGGATATGGACTATAAATCCACAAATATAACTTCCTTCAATTTTGCCTTCGAGAGCCCTGAAAACTTTTAAACAAGGTACTTGATATTTTCTCCGTCTTTTGTTAGAGATTAAAAAAAAACTATTTGTATAAATTATAGCTTTAAAACCTAGCTTTATCCTATGTCCAACCGTAAGCGTCCTTGACTCCCAACTCTTCATTGACCAGTGATATTTTCAGTCTCTTTCTGTCACCTAGACATAAAAAACAAGAAAATTTGGTGTAACCGGTTTGTTGTCCAAGTAACATATGCAATAGTTTTTAGTGATCGCATATTTGACCGTGGTGTTCATATTTGAGTTTTTCAAAATAAATAATTTTTTAATAGACTTCTATAACTGGCGCAATTTCTAGCATCCTAATATCCAGCGTTTTCTGTCGAAGTAATCTTCAGTTTTTAAATCTCTGGCGTTCATTGCATCTTCGACATCTTCTCTCCAGGACCGTGTTGGTAAACCTCGTTCTCTTCTAGTGGGCAAAGTCCATTTTTTTATTTTGTGTGATAATCTCTTTCGAGGCATCCTCTCCAGGTGTCAATACCAGTTTAGTATTTTGGCTTGATTGTGTTTATTATGTCTAGTCCAATTTTCATTTGTCTTCTAATGTCTTCGTTCCTCACCTTACTAAGTCTAAGTCTAGTGAGTCGGCAACTTCATCTTCAATAGTCCATTTTAATGGCATTAATTTTAAAATCAAAGATTTAATATCACTAAAATAAACTAGATTTCCTTCTTAGGTAAACTAAGGCACAAAGTTCTCTTCTTGATATCTGAGTGAAGAAAAACACATTCCAGTTTTGTATTCAAACATATATATATTCCAGGTAAGTATTTTTACTGTTAAGTTGAAATTCAAGAAACTCACCATATCATTGATCTCTTTCTTGGAGAACAATTTTGGAATAATTTTGTCTTTAAAGTCTTGAGCCCCGATTTTCTGTAGTTCATGATTCACCTTCATCTGAATCTAGTATCTCCCATAATGTCCCAGGGGCTATACAGCTGTTTCTGCATTAAAAGAAAGAGAACAAATAGCTGAGTGAAGATTTGAGTATGAAATGGAATGGTTTGATTTTGGGTTGAACCTTTTGACATCACACGAGTGGAAGTAGTAGTCGTCACTATAATTCCTTTGTTCTTGCCATACCATAGATACCCCAAAGCAGCAGCTGTTCATTTCAAAGCCGTTTTCCTACCCTATCCGATTCCAAAGCAGTGTCGAAGGTCCTACACACATCTTTTGCAACCTTTATGAGAAACCCAAACTTTGTCTTGATCACCTAGTTTTAATCCAAAGTATGCAAAATACGCTTTATTCACAAAGTATGTATATTAAGTTGTTGCTTCAATACTATATATTCGCTACAGATAAAACAAAAGAGTCTTTTGTTGATTTTTGTACTTTCGCGAGGCCATGTTACAAAATTATTATGTAAACAAATTTAAATTAACAGCCACTTGGTATTAAGTCGCATTACATAAACTAGAATCAATTTTCGAAAAGGAACCTAGTTAATATTATCTCATTAAAACATAAGAGTACATATATTTGTGTACATATAAGTGTCTTCGTATTCCGTATCTGTGATGCAATTTGCAGCTTGCATAGCCAAAAAATATGATAATCTGTGTGTTTTAGAACGGTAAATACAAGATTTCATAGCTCAGTCAAGGGAAAATGAGCTAAATCTGTATTTGTATTTTGTGAAAAATCCTGGTTTCCTGATACTATTTTCGTTTTCAGCACATCAAATGACATAAGAATTATTTAAAATTATCTAAACAGCTTTTTGGTTGCAGATCTCTAGCATCACTTATAACCAAATAAATGAGGAACATGAAAATCACTTTTAAGATTGCTAGCTAAACGTACCAATTTTTATACTGTAACAAAATTTAGAAGTTTGGTTTAAGAGGATCCACTTTTTGCTGCGAATTGTATCAATGTTCTTAATTATAGACTTAAGCTATTAAATATATCCTAAACTGCAAGCCAAAATAAATCAAACTTTAATAGAGACTAAAAAAATGTTTTTAATTAAACGAAAACAACATGTAATTGGTTTTATAGTGACCAACTTATTGTTTTTGATAATGTAATAACAGTTTATACATGTATTATTAGAAATTGTCACATGTTACAAAATATTACACAATTTAACATCAATAAATAATTTAAGATATGTTAAATGAGTGACACTGATTCAGGCACAACACAAAATAAGAAAAGAGAAACCAGCAAACCCAAGCTCATACTAACATTCATGCACCACAAGCTGCGCAGAGCAAGTCGATTCTCCCTTTTCATTTTTAGCTACAGCTATGTACATTCCGCTATCTTCCTTAGTTGTTTCCTTGATGGCCAGTTTACACTCGTTAGTTTTTTCGTTATACGAGACCTGGATTCTCGAATCTACGTTGCTGATCGGCTTGTTGTCTTTCAGCCAAGCGAAAGAGGAAGGCTTGGAGCTAAGAGTTATTCCAAAGTGCGCAGTTTCGCCAGCTGTTTTTAAAGAGAAAGATCTTAAAGTGGTTTGAACTTTTTCAAATCAAATTAATATTCATAATATGAAATTTTAACTGAACAGGTAATTGTCTTTTTGTTGAAAGATTTTGACAACGCTATTACAAAAGTATGTTTCTGAAGCTACATAGTATAGAAAGCAGAATGGCTTGTCAGCCATAATTCTGATGTCTAGACCTAAAGTGCTGCATCGAGACATCACGTCTAGATATACAAAAACTCATTTTTTGTACTGCTTTTCTGTGCTATTTTTATTTTGTATTAATTGTAAGTAATTATACAGTGCAGGCGTAAAGTATGAAAACATAAAGATATCTGTGACATCCCGTATGATATAGTAACAAAATATATATACTAGATGGAACAGCAATTTAAAATTTTATATTTTTGACGTTGCCAAATGTAGGTAAAATACATTGGTACATTTAACAGAGCATCAAAAAGTTTATGAATAAAAGGATGTGGTGACAGGTAATAATACGAATAAATTACGAAATTCAAGTATGTTTTACTTACGGCACATTTGTAGGACACGAAAACAGTAAGAGGTACTCATATAAAATATTATTTATTAATAAGTATAAAGGCAGAACAACTACGGCACGTGGGACTATATCTAAAATTATTCATAAATTTGACGAAAGTGGACATGTACGAGAACTCCCAAAAAGTGGTCGCCCTGGTATTCCAGAGGAAATAAAAACTGACATTTTTTTGTCGATGGTTGAAGATCCTCATAAGGCTACTAGAATAATTGCAACGGAAAATTAAATAAGTC